GTTTGTGCAGGACAATAAGACCCTTGTCTTTGACGCGATGAGTATAATTTGGTCAAAACCTGTAGAATACAATTCACATATAGCAACTGCCGGTACATCAGGACACAGTTTGAATAATATGATCAATATACAGTACATAACCTGTTAAATATAACTCACATGTAACAACTGCTGGTACATCAGGACACACACATTGAATAATATGATCAATATACTGTACATAATTACACTTATTAAAGTTATTTAGAGTTCTCAGAGGATTCAACAGTTCACAATCACACTCACGTTTTTGGGTCTAGGGTTAGACCATCGAAAACAAATATAATGTCCTGCAGGAAGATGTTGGCTGACGAGAATCATGATGTTGCCTCTACAGTAGAAGGGGATAGTCTGCCCCTCAGGCAGTCACACAGCTGCTATCAGCTCCATCTCGATTAGTAAGCTATTCTGAGTTGTAAACAGTTTCTTCACTTAACATGTGGCTGGCGCGCACAATTGTGCGTGGCTATAACAGGTACCATTCACGTACAGTACATGCAAATTTTTGTTTGTGGTCTTTGGGTCTAAACATAAGTACAGTACTGTATTGTACATAACTGACTTTTGGGGTTCATGGTCCGAAGGCCCATCACACCCGTGTTGTAAATTACTCATTATCTAGCAAAATTCACAAGTTCACTTTACTATCACCAGGTTATCCTCCTCCTCCTCCTCCACATTGGAATGTGTCACAGATACCCCCGTAATATAGTAACTAATTTTTATAATTAATTAAACTAAAGATAAAAAGCATTACAGTAGTACTTAGAGATAGCATAATCTACTACTGTAGTTAGGAAAATAAGGGTTATCATGAATGTCTCTAGCACTCCTAAAATCAAAATAAAAAAGGTCTTTTAAAATTTATTTACAGCATGGAAATTGTGCCAAAATGAAATTATCATATTTTTAATAATTTCTAAGCCTCTTATGTACTGCAAAGATGGAAACTCTTAAAATTACTGTACAGTACTATTTAACAGAACTGTTTCTTATGTTAGATTACTGCTAACATTCATTTACTGTACTGTACAGTTTGTACAGTACTTGGAAGCTCTTCATTTCCTGCAACACAACCCCACCCAGCAGGGCACTTTGGTTTGTAAACATAATTTGGTATGAAAAATCCATATATGTTGGCTTAAGATTAAACTACAGTACAATATTATGAAGTTCAATGTATGCTGCCATACTATACCACTCAAGTAGAACTGAAAAAACAAAAACAATTACTGTACTATATATTTCATGCTCTGAGTAAATGAGTGTGTGAATGATGTAAATGAAATAAACCTTTGAAACATTACAAAGGCAAAGAACTGCCTTAAGCTGTGAGTATACAGTACCTGTATTGGTATACAGTACCTGTATTGATATACAATACAGATGTTCTGCAGTCTTGTATTTAGAATATACTAAGCTTCACCTTATAGACCATTAACATACTGAAATAATTAACATTACCAATATCTTCAGAAAAAAATAAATATATTAACCCTACTTTAAAATGTTTGTATTTAAATCCAGCAATTAAGTTTCCCACTATTCATAACTAATAGTTATGTCATGAACTTAAGAACTGTGGCCACAACAGTTTCTTCAGAATCCGACCCATAATTACTGACTTCATGTTGACACCACTGTCACTCAGAAAATCAATACCTACTGGTATATCTGACCTTTTACCTTCACAGGGGTAGTAAATAACTATTGCATTCATATTTAGTTTAGCACCTATGAGCACCTTTAATAATATGGTAAATTAATTACTGTACTATCACTTTGGTAAAGAATGAAGTCACTATGCATCATAGGACCATAAATGTGGAATAACAACACTTTGTCTTGTATCATTCTGCATACAATAGAAACATACCCTTTTAAATTTGGGTAAACCATTCAGTAGATTTATCTCAGCTATTCAGTACAGTTAAAAAGAAGTTACTCGTACAGTGTTCTAAAATAATATTTATTACATTTTCATTTTGAAGCATATGCTCTGCCCAAAATGACAGATTCAACTGGTACCTGAGCCAGTTCAAACTGTTCTCAGAGCTATAGTCTGTTCACTTGAACTTTTTAACCAAGGCCTAGGGCCAGTTTGTAGCAAGGCAGCTGATTGGCTGGCAGACAAGACACGTGAAGTCACTACAGTTCTTTAGAATTTAATCTATCATTATTTATATTCTGTTTAAGAGATAATAACTATTCTGCGTTGATTTCTGATAATTTCTGCACTTGGAGAAGTAAAAATTAGCTTGTGAAATGCACTGGTTACATAAATATCAAGGAGAATAAGAAAAAGATTATAAAAAAATTCAGCGATATCCTCGCCCTTTTCGGTCACCACACTGCATGACATTATGCTGTGAAGAGGAGTTAACCTAGCAGAACTTCATCTTGCTCCTTTATGATAGCTGTATTACCAGTGCATTTCACAAGCTAATTTTTTGTTCCCCAAGTGCAGAAACTATCAGAAATCAACACAGAAAAGCTATTATCCCTTAAAATATCAAAATATAAATACAAAATTACTATAGTGACTTTTTGTGTCCACCTACCAGCTGCCTAGCTACAAACTGACCATGGACCTCAATTGCAAGGTACAAATGAACAGACAATAGCTTATCATATATCTGACAGAAAAAAATATAGGGCATCCATAAATGATTACCCTGATTAAAACATGAGCACATACGGTTTTTAGGGTAAGCATTTATGGACACCCTGTATTACCTTAACATTTAATCTCCAAACATATTTGTATTCACTGCATCAGTTGCTAAAATTTGATTCATTTGTGTATTAACTTACAGCATGTAAGCCAAAGCCCTGTAGAATTTGGCTTTTTCAAAACTTTGTTTCTACCTAATTACTGTATTATACAGTATTGAAAAACCCTACTTGAGGAGCTGATGTCTATTTATGGCATGTGGTAGAAAGCATCTACTATGACAAAATTATGGTCTACATAGAATTTGGATATCACTTAAAGGAGTAAACTTTTACAGACAACAAACTAAATTGGAAACCACACGTCAGTGAAGTTGTCAAATCCTCCAGTTTCCGTCTCCACCTCCTCCGCCGACTCAAGTCCCTCGGAGTTCCTGCACCCGAGCTCCTCAGTGTTTACTCAACATTCATACTTCCCAAGCTCACCTATGCCTCCCCTACCTGGTCTTCCTCCCTAAATGCCACACAACGTAAACACCTAGAAAAAGTGCAAAAGAGGGCATGCAAGATTATTCTCTCCCCTTCCTATTCCACATATCAATAAGCACTCACCACAGTTTCGACTCTCACTGACCATCACCACGACCTCATCTGCAAATTTGGTAAGAAGCTTCTGCACCATCCTCGACACCGGCTCCTACTACCACCTGAGATCCCTAGCCCGAGAATTGCTGTTCGACACCGCAACCGCATCCAGCCCATACGTGCACGAACTGATCGCTATAAGAACAGCCCAGTCCCAACCATTGTAAAAATTATCAATAACTTGTAATAAACCAGTGTATTCACTCCCAGTAAATACTACTTCTTGCACTGTCACTATGTTGAAATGCCCTGTAGTTTGAGCTTTTCCCCATCTAGTTATTATATATCTTATTTATATCACTTATGTTATTTGTATATTATTTGTAATTCGAAACCCATTCCCCAATTATGTAACTGTATATTTTCAGCCTTCTGGCTGCCAAGCTCTTTCAATAAACCATTAATTATTATTATTATTATTATTATTAAAACCCAGAATACAAGTACAATATATTTGCATAACTTCAGTAAATTAACTGCACTTTCCATCAAAACTTTATCATTCAGATTGTTCTACATCATATGTGTATTTTTTTTCTTTCTTGCTTAATGTAAACAAATCTTACCACAAGTTCCTTATTGATTACTAATATACAGACTGTTTCATAATTCTAGGGGCGTATTCCTTCTGTCATGGTCAAAAGTAGATGTGTATCCAAGTGTCCTCACGGCAGTCTGAGTGCCCAGGACCGATTGGGACTTTATTGGTAATCTAATCCTAAAGATGTGAATGACCTAGGATATAATACTGTTGTACTGTGTGTGTTTGTGAGTACGTACATGCAGATTTGAAATGCTCGTGTGCATGTATGTATGTCTGCATACATGCGAATGTGTGTGCATGATTGAAGGAGACATACTGTCTGAGTGGCATGGGCTATCATGCCACAGTGTGTGTGTGTGTGTAATGTAAGCGTAGTGTGGTGTACTGTATGCGAGTGTGTATAGATAAACGTATGTGTATTTGTGTGTATAGATAAACGTATGTGTATTTGTGTGTAAACACACAAATTGTCGTCAGATACGGTTGTTTATTGCATAAAATGTGTTTTTACATCCTATGACACAGCTTTGGAAGGTCGATATTTTTTTTTTACTTTTCCTTTGCGTTGAGGGGACAGATATCTACCTAGGATCTGCATCAAAAGGGTTAAATAATCTTAAACACCCGAGCTGCACAGTTCGTACCACCATGAAATATTAGCAATTAAGAAGCCTCTAAGGGGTTTATTTTTTACTTTATCTAGAGTTCAAAAGTCCAAGTGTCACCTTTTACAAAAATTATGTAGTATTTATGGCTATCAGCCAATTTTCCTGCATTTTGTAAATTAGCTGTATTCTGCAGTGAAGTGAATCTTTGACTGTAGCCAATTTATATTAGGCCTTGCAGTGATGCTAGTAATCCAACCCCCGTAACTTTTCCCATACAGTATATGGTTAAAGAATCTTAGTACAGGTTTATACATACTTCAAGTCCTTTTCCTTTGAACAGCAGTCCCCAACCTGTGGTTTGGGGGCCACATGCAGCCCCCAAACCATTTTTGTGCAGCCCTCGAACTTTCCCATAAAAGGCAGGTTACACTAAATTTAATGGGTCTTGTTTGAGAGATGTCTAGAACAGTGTATTCATAAAAATTCTTACATTTAAGGGCAATATTTTTTATTTTAATAAACAAGTGACTAGGTACAGAGTACTTAACTAATTTATTCACTTTCCGATTTTAAAGTTCGGCCTCGTCACATATTTGACCATTCAATCTGGTCCACTTAAATAAAGCGGTTGGGAACCACTGCCCAAGTATAAATTTGAGCACATAGCAGACATGTGTGACAACAAGACCTAAACTAATGAGGAAGACAAACATCACATGGATTATGAAAATGGCCGACAAGAAGCACAGAGATGAAGTGTCTACCATATAACCTATAGATTCAGCACAATAAGTTTGAGAAATTATAAAAATATTTTTAAAGAGAAATACAATGTACTGTGTAATACAATACTACCAATATATTGTATTAAATAATAGCAAATGTGGGAAAGTTTCGTGTTGCTCTGGATTCCATGCACCCTGTACTGTACCTGGGAAGGCTTCCAAAAATTTCAAAAATCTTTACCAGTACATAGCCATGATACTATACCTCAGCATGACATTCATATATAATTAGATATATCTATATAACTTTAAATATACTTTCCCTGGCCAATTTATTCAAAGCATTCCTCCACAACTTTAATATATCACTCACATTACCTAATAAACTGGACCCCAGTCCTAATCAAACCAAACCATTAGGACTGCTATGTGTCTGTGTTAGGCCCCAATCACGATTAAATTGGGACCTGTTTGCACTGGGGCCCATTTAGAGTTGCCAGCCTCACCACTATATATACATGGCAGTGTTTGTAATCTACACATACATACATACATACACACATAGTTTAACAATAGTATTACTTATTAACCAGTGATTTTGCATCCTTTATGGTGTTTCTACTTTGTTCACACTTCTTATTCTTTTGTTATTTAACAACTGAGAGCACCACACAAAAACTTAGTCTGTAAATTCATTACATTTTGTGAAAGCAAAAAGAAACTACTCAACATTTATTTCACCTGAAAGTACATGAAGAACTCTTTGGTTTCTCTCTCCAGGAATTAAGCTGGAGTTTCCATCTCTTTAAAATATTCATGGATATGCTATGAATGAAATATTTGAATGAAAGGATTATACATCTTGTGAATGAAATATATAAATAAAAGGAGTCTCACTAGCTTATGAGTCAGAAGAGTTGAATGAAAGAATTGTACAGCCAACCCAGGAGAATGAAAAGCTTGAATAAGAGAATACTGTACCACCACCACTCCAAAAGCAGAAATATTTTACCAACTGGATCTAGACTGTCAAGGAGACAACATATCCATGTGTGGTAGGCTATGTTTTCTCTAGTTGTACCTTTCAATATTAATATCAATTCACTCATCATTATGTCACAATTCCCAATTTATATGCCACAAAAAATAAACAAATTGCAATTAATTGGTTTAAATAAAAAATAAATAAATAAATAAAAATAACTAACTTTTAAAAAAGTCCAAGAAACAAATCAAACATTCAAACACACAACAAACTACACTGTGACTACATCCTCCAACCTTTACTAACAATCATTCTTGAGATCACATTTATAATCCTTCAAAACTAGAAGAAATATAACTCCCTTTATCTCTTTCTCATTGGTCTGGTCTCAGGTAAATTGAGAATGAAACTATTCATACTGCAATTTAAGTTTGACATCATGTAAAGATGTACTAGTTATGTGGTAGATGATTATGGAAGGGTTAACCGCAGTCAGGAGAAACTGAAAATTGCAAATAATTTCTCCTGAAAAATAAAGATGATATACACGGATAACTATTTTACATGATTGAATAGTTGAAGGAAAATCCTCCCTCCCTCATGAGCATGGTTATGTTTTCACTGGCGTTACTATTGGTAAGAGTGAAGCTGCCAAGTCTTCAATGTCCACTTCCATTTTTGAACTGCATGACGTTCCACAGCATTTCTTTGATCTGTTGGAGTCATGAAAAAAATATGTAATTCTGCACATATATCTATTTAATTAGTACAATACACCATTGATAAACTAAATGCTGCAGCCTAAATGTCATTTTCTGAAAAATTCCGTACATCTCAAGTGGGTGGGTAGGCGCAGAGTGCTCGTGAGCTACAATTGGCCACTAATGTCATGTGACTGCATGGGATGCCTATGATTAGCTGATGTATCTCACAGCCTATCTCCTCAAACTCTTGCATCATGATACTCTTCATTGTCTGCTGCCATTGCACAAGTTTGTTTGCACATTGCTGTTTTCACATACAATCTGTGATATGCAGTACTGTACTGTACATGACTGTACCAGCATATACTGCACAGTAATCAGCCAAGAATACTGTTAACACAGTGTTAAAGCAAAACTTGATTAGTTATGTACCCTGTACTAAACATTTAGTAAGTGTGAAAATACCATACGTACAGTATACTGTACATAGTAAAATGGACAGTACGCTAGTGTGTAGAGGGTGTATGTGCAGTATAATCTGTATAAAGTGCATGCATAATCCCTCCTTTATGGGGGGAGAGGAGAGTAACAGTTAGCAACACCTGCTCCAAGAGATGGTACAGGACAAAGGTAGGCCATCCTGTATCATCATATCACTATTTGGCCTGCCTACATAACAAGCTCAAGACATCATCTGCTGGGGGAATCCAGTATATACAGTACAATACTGTTGCAGTATACAGTACAATACTGTAGCAGTATACTGTACATTATTTAGTTTATTTACTATGTATTGTAATCGTACAGTGGTGTTTGTGTAAATAAATACAGCTCTGTCTCTGTGCAAGATGCAGGGACTGTGATTTTTTTCCAGGTAAGAGAAAAAATGTCTATACCCAGAAATCTCTCTGCACCAATTATTCCATCTAACGAGGATATCACTATGAATTTTTTTTTTTTTTTTTTTTTACATAATCACAGGTAGGCAGATTACACAAAACTAGCTGGAGCTTGAACTCCTAGTTAAAGTCAGTCCCCTACCCACTCAGCTTATACAAACACCAGAGATTTATGTGAAGAATACATACAAATACTCACATTTTCTTGATTTTATCTAAAACTTTTTTGGTGTACTGACAGCTGGATAACACTGAAGAATTTTGTGTGTATCCAGTGTATGTGATGCAGGTAAGAGGTAGCCATCTTGTCCCTCCTAAGTCAGACAGTGCTACACTAAGCCTCTCTGCAGACTGTAGGAAAACAAAATAATTTGCTAATGGATCTCTAAATGACCAATGTGAATCTTCTGTACATATACTGTAGTATATGAATCACTGCTTTCATAGCTATAAAAAAATGCAACTATTTAGAATTTAAAGTTATTTGAAGCCTTTTTATGATCATAGTTACTGTGATTCAAAAGAGCAAATTATCTAAAATTTGTGCACCAAAACTATGAAACATTCTGGTTTTATTGTGTAATCTCTTTGATTGCATTTACACAATTCTTACATTAAACTTTCAAGAGGAGAGTCCACTAGGAGAGACCTCATTACAAAAACAATTGAGGGCCCCCAAGACTTGCCCACTAAGTCAACAACCAATCAAATTGCTTGAAATCAATGCACCTTAACATTATGCTCACTTTTTTTTACCACTAAAAACAAGAACAATGCAAGTGTCAGTTTCATGTGTTAAGGCAATTCAGAAAAGGACTAACGTAATATTTTTATTTGAAGGGTTGTTGCCATATGTGAAATGATGGGGCTAAGTTACCATACACAGGTAGCTACATATGTTCCATTCTCAATAACTCACCTCACAAATATCTCTAGAACTTGTTTCTGTCAGGCACAAAATGCTGTATGTGAAGACTAATGTAGAATCACTGGTTTCCCTTATTTTCAGAACTGTGTCAAGTAGTCGTTCACACTTGTCATATGATGTAACCAGGAAAAGGCTAAGCTGTGAAGGCTCCTGTAGTGGAAACATCAAGATTTGTTTTAGATTAAAAAAATTTATGCTATTTTGATCCTGCAAGCCTAGTTATATGTACTGTATGTGGTCATGCACATAGGGCATTTAGATATTCATAAACATTCTTGGGGCTATTTACCTAAGTAGATATACCAAATTTCAGTTCCATCTTAAAAAGCATGGCCTTACATCGCAAAGAAACCAAAAAATAAGTGTTTTAATGAGTGGGGGTTCCACCTGTGGGAGTGAGGGCCAACCCCCTAAAAAAAAACCCACTTTCATGACACCTCTAGAATGCATGTGCATCTCTATGACAAATTCAGCTCTTATCTTCAACACAAAAATGAACAAGACACTGTGTTTTATACAAGTATACTGTATTAGATAGCCAGTTCCCTTCCCCTCAGCAGTTTAAATATAATGTGCGCACCAAACCAATGCACTAGACATTGGAGACCTGACACTAAAGGCTGGGAATAATCTAAAATAAATGTAGTATATCACCTCTACATTACAAGGATGTACAGTATCATTTTTCCAAGTAAATATGTTTGGGAACAGATCTAACAGCATCAGGCCCCCATAGTCCCCATGTTCAAGTGCAGCACCTTTTCACTTGTAAGTGTTCACAATCACACTCTTCAGCCAGTCAGCTGAACAGTGCATTCCATCATAATTGTACTGTACAGCATTAGCTTATCTGGTCATCATTGTTACACCAGCATCATCTGATGCTTTCAATTTTTTAATCTTTATATCCAGTCCGGCCTGTGCATTCTTATCTCAGAATTAGTGTATTGATTAGTTTCATCTAAGAATATCAATATTAGATCATTAAACAAAACACAAAGCTCCCAAAACTTATAAAGGGCGTCCTCACTTAATGTCGGGGTTACATTCCTGAAAACGCGAAGTTATGCGAAATAACGTTATGCGGATCAAACTTCCCCATAAGAAATAGATAAAATACAGGAGTTACGTTCCCCAGCCTCCCTTTACCCCATGAAAAAAATTACATATACAGAAAATCATTGCCATTTCTATAGAAAATAGTACAGGTTGACCATCTCAAATCCGGACTGATTGGAACCTGAGCAGTGCCGGATTAGTGATTTTGCCGAACCACAGGTGGTTAGATTAGGATTAAATAAATAAACACCTCTAACCCACTTCATAACCACCTCACCCTACCTTTAAAATACTCTGTAAATAGTACAAGTTGGATAATAAAAAGAAACAGCCACTGGACTCTCAACTGTCAACAGATGTCAGCGTTGTGGCACACTGGACCTTCGCTTTATGCGCATTCATTGTATACGAATTGGCGTTCTTGCACCGGCCCTATTTCTACCCATAATTCATTTTATGTGGAAAAGATTCCATATTATGCATTCTACAGAAGATATGATACAAAAGTTTTATATTATTATTATATTATTTTTATTTCTAAGCCACATTAGAATGTTTTGAATGATTTTTCTACAACTTTTACAGCAGTAATGCTCTAGAAATGGTTGTGAAACATGGCAGTGTGTGTGTGCACTGCGCTGTATGCGACGTCACAGGACGTGGCTGCTCTTCATATGTCTTAGTTTATCGTTTTATATATAATGTTATCTTTATTTTTAACCCACATTTGAGTTTTGTAATAATTTTTCCACAACTTTTATAACATTACTGTTGACTTTTAGTAGTTGTGGAAGCGCCAGTTATACAAGTCGCATATGCTACGAACAGACACACCACTGTCGAGTTTTTTGAGAAGTTCAACCTTATCTTGTATAGACAACGTATGGTGTTTGCGCTTTACACCACGAGAAGCACTTCCTTTATTCAATGAAGACATGACTTGGGCTAAATAAGAGCAGTTTATAATAATAAATGAAGAAAAACACAGAGGAATAACTTGCCGCTCCTCAAACACCGTGCCAACAGCCGAGTCAGCTAGTGGCACCACCAAAACAGTAGCAGCGGGTTGGCGAGGAGACCAGCGCGAAATTTGAAATTGAGGTGGCCAAATTATGTCCGAACCAGCTTTGGAACCGGATTACTGATTGCCGGATATGATGTGGTCTACCTGTTTATAGAACTACAGTACTAAGTTTGTATTGGTTCTCACCGATGGGCAGAGGTGGTAGAGCGAGTGTGTGGTGGGTAGTGGAGCGAAGGAGGAGATGGCGGGAGCGGAGGAGGAGGGTGGGAGTGGAGGAGGGCGGGTGGGGAGGAGGGTGGGAGTGGAGGAGGGCGGGTGGGGAGGAGAGTGGCGAGTCACTGAGTCTGCGGCTGCCTCCTCCTCCTCCTGCTCTGACTGGGGTTCCTCCGCCGCTGCTTGCTCCTCCTCCGTTGTTGGCGGGAATGTCTCGGCAGCAACAGTATCTGAACTAGCAACTTCACCAGTCATCTTTATGTTGTGGAAGTTGTACCGATGCTTAAATCATTGAAACCAGCCTCGGCTGGCTGTAAAGGTCTCTTCCTTCGATCTGGCCTTATGCTGGATAGCCATAAGGCTCACAGAGGCATTGCATTGATTCTGGTCCTCTATCCACATTGCCAGCATCTTTTCCACCCTCTCTATCACAGTGCTTCTAGTACGAGTCATCTTAGTAGCATGCAGAGAAGAACCACTTCCCGCTCTAACCTTAATCTTGTCAGCGTTGGTCCGAATAGTACACACGGTTGTGGGGGTTAGACCAAGCACAGTGGCTATGTCCACAGCACGTTCCCCTTTTTTCAAATCTGGTTAATACATCCATTTTCGTAGCAAGGGTAATGGTCTTAAGTTGCCTCTTCACTACACTAGCACTTGATGGGCGCTTGGAAGCCATTTTGAATGGTTAGAGTACAGTTTTAGAGCAAAAGCACTGAAGTACACACGAATGATTTGAAGTCGTAACAGAGACTGGCTTGGAGTCGCTTGGGGATGCTGTGACGTTCCGCGAGGAGGGTAGCGCGCCGAGCCGAGAGAGCGTAGCGTGGCCAGACAAGAGTGGGTGATGCGCGTAGAAAGTAGTTCATGACGACGCAAAACGACGTAGTATCGGATCACCGGGACGTTAAACGAATTTTTGGTCTTGGCGACGTAGTACTGAAACAACGTTAAGCGGGACGACGTTAAGCGAGGACTTACTGTACAATATTGTACTGAACACACAATATGATTTGCTAAGTTACCACATTAACTCTGCTCATAACCCCAGAGAACATGCATCTTTTATGGCTTTTCTGAGAGGCATGTCCGTCAGCTCTATTCTACAAACTTCTTCAACCCCAGTGGTAAAATTTCTGATAAAAAGGGTATACAGGTACTATAATGCAGGTTATACCACTTGTACTCTAGCCCTTATAATTACAGTACACTCTTAACATAGCACATCAGTAATTATAATGGTAAAATCTGAAAGAGTATTAAATAATAAATATTTTTAATAAACCTATAGAATGAATCAGCCAGTCTAGAACAACACAGGGTACAGTATTTGTGTAATTCCTCTTCAAAGGGATCGACTAATTTAAGAAAGTACATATTGTATGTACAGTAACTGTCTATTTTCCACATAAACCCCATCAGAAATATTTTGTACATGACAGTATGTGCAAACTTACAGTGTTTAATAATGACTGTTGTACTTCAAGAGAAGCTCTAGTAGTACAAGTGAGGCCACCTGTTGTAAACCTTTCTGCTAAGTCTTCTGAGCTGACCTGGAATGAAATGAAGTTTCATTTGATCACTTTTATCTCCAATCCTCAACCATAAAACATTAAGATTGTTATTGGGTAACTGTGTCATATAATTAGTGGCACAGGCTAGGTTAAGCATTATAGTACAGTGCATAGAAATGAAATACAGTATGTCATCTACTTCTAAGAATGATTAACATTAACCATACCCTGAGTTGGTCATCACTGATGTCTGCTACAATGATCACTTCTGAGACAGTCTTCTTGTTGGAGCAGGTCTTAGCACCACTACAGCTGTGCTTCCTGGTATGAGACACCTTCCTCTTTGGTCTTGTAGTATCCTCCTCACTGCTTGAACAGCCTGATGTGCTCTCAAGTAAATCTTCCACTTTATGAGTACTGGGTTTATCATGGTCTGAGTGACTGACAATAACTTTACCCCTACCAATTTGTTCTCTGGGGTGTGCAGAGGGATTTTCAGTTTCTGGATCACATGGGGTAACAGTATCACCGGGGGACTTTTCACCACCACACACACCATTATTGACAGGACTGACAGTGGTATAATTTTTCCCCAAAACTCTTTCTTTCCCTTCATTCTTCCTTTTATCAAGTAAGATCAATATTATCAACCCAACTATTAAAGATGTCAACAACAAGGGGAGATATAAATGTCCAACAAGAGGAAGACTGGCAACATTCATTTTGATTAAAGCTTATTTTCCGTTCTATTGTCCAAAACACACACAAAACAGTTTTAGAGAAAATCGTTTTCAGTTGAGTATCTGCTTCTTACTTCAATCGAAACAAGATTGCTGTCATTTCCTGGTCATTAAACTACTTTCATCCTCTTGTGTAAGTCACACCCAACCTATAAAGTAAAAAAAATCATTATAGGCAACTTTCTTATTCTTGTTTGGGGGATGGAGTTTTTAGAGTAACAAGCAGTAAAAAATTGCAATAAGGCAAGTACTGTATAAAAAGAATAAATAAATTTATTTCTAAAACTAAAAAAAATATTTACACAGAGATAAATACCATGATGTGAATGATTAACCCTAATTATTCCACCTGGGAAGATATTGGAAGCATAATGTGTTGTCTATGGTAGACCCTGCTGTCACATGGCATCACGAAAATTGTGACTAAATCCCAGGTTGCTGATCTGACTTTCTGCCTCATTTACACACAATTGCAGGGTCTCAATTGTTTCTCTTACTATTGACAACACAACATACATATATTGCTCCTCACTTTTGATTCTTTTTTTCATTTTGTATTTCTTTGTGGTTCTTTATTATTATTATTATTATTATTATTATTATTATTATTATTATTATTATTATTATTATTTCGCCCCCAGGCCCCGATGTGGGTCAGTGACCTGTGCCTGGGTGGGCTAATTCCCGTAAAAAAATCCTATAGTGGTACAGGTATCTTAATATTTAATACTTTTGCAGAATACTGTATTCTTTCACACAAGGATAACAAAAACTAAGCAAAAGAATTACTTTTTTATCATTCCACTTACGATCATCATCATTACTGTTGTTTACAGCCATTTACCACGCTTGTATGAATTAGCTGCATTTATTTGATGGCTGCTCTCCATGATGCACAGTCTTGAGTCTCTCATCAAAGTCTTAACTATGACACTTCTTATAACCACTCCTCATGTCATCCTTAGCCTATCCATGGTTCTCCTCCCCTCCACATTTATCCTCATGCACCTCTTGACCGAAGTGGTCTCATCCATTCTCTCTGCATGATCAAAACATCTCAGCCTGCCTCTATGCAGAATTTTCCCAATGTACTGTACTCTTAATACCCAGCTACCCTCTTAGCTCTGAACAGTGCCTCCTGTCTCTCAGTGTTACATTACACATCACAACCACCTCACCATTCTTCCTATCACACAGAGGAAGATCCTCTTGATGTCAATAAAGGCAGCAAGTCCCTAAAGTTCCTCTAGGCACTTCTGACACTTATAACTGAGTAGGCTTCACTACCCCCACCAGCACTTATCTCTCCCACGTAACAAAACTCACTGTCACAGTCCAGGGACATTATCCCCTAGCTTCTCATTGCCCACTTCACTACTTCACATGGTAACCGGTCATATGCCTTTCAGTCTATAAATACAAAGTTCAATTTTCTCTCCTTCCCTAGATACTTCTCTCGTAATTGCCTGTTCTTAATTACAGGGTAATGTCTTTGTAGTTCCCCTCTTGGCAGAAAATCAAACTGCACTTCATTTATCCCTACTCTTTCCCTTCTCAATTACTGTACTCTTCCCAAAACTTTCATAACCTGATTTGTCAGTTTCAGGTCTCCTGTATTTCCCATATTCAAGTACATCAACTTTACCATGGTAAGTGAAGTTGCATATTCATGATCACACTCTTCTTCCAGACATCTGGAACAGTACCATACAATCCAACATGATTGCACAAGTCAATTCAGCCACCAATGATACACCTACATCACCTTATGTATCTAAATTTCATAACAGTAATATACAGTGCCATGAATTTTATTGTAAATATCTGGGAAGGGGAACTGAAGAAAACCAGAATGGGAGGAGTTGCTTTATAAGAGGTGGGACTGCCTAAATCAGGTGGTATCTGCTTGTCCCCCTACCCCTTGGGCAAAACTATGCTTTCACTTCCACACATGAAAAGTGAGCCCTCTTAACATTGAAAAAGTATACTGAATTCTCTTAACAAGTAATGAATTGAATGCCCTCCCTCATAACACAGTAAAGTATGCCATCCCTCATTACACAGGAAAAGTATGCCCTTCTTTACACAGGTAAAGCATACCATCTCTCATTACAGACAGAAAAAGTATGCCCTTCCACTTTATAGACAGGGAAAGTATGCCCTTCATCTTTACAGACAGGAAAAGTATGCCCTTCCTCTGTATACAGGTAATGTATGCCCTTCCTATTTACAGAAATGAAAAGTATGCCCTCCCTCTTTACACAGGAAAAGTATGCCCTTCCTCTTTACAGACAGGCAAAGTATGCCCTTCTTTACAAACAGGCAAAGTATGCCCTTCCTCTTTACAGACAGGCAAAGTATGCCCTTCTTTACAAACAGGAAAAGCATGCACTTCCTCTTTACAGAGAGGAAAAGTATGCCCTCCCTCTTTACAGAAAGGAAAAGTATGCCCCCTCTTTACACAGAAAAAGTATGCCCCCTTACAGACGGGAATAGTATGCCCTTACTCTTTACATACAGGTAGAGTATGCCCTTACTATTTACATATAGATAAAGTATGCCCTATTTACAGACATGAAAAGTATGCCCTCCATCTTTAGAGATGAAAAGCATGCCCTCATCAAGCAAGAATAGTATGCCCTCCCTCTTTACAGACAGGACACGTATGCTCTCCCTCTTTACACAGGAAAAGTTTACCCTCCATTACAGACAAGAAAATTATGCCCTCCATTTTTACAGTCAAGAAAAGTATGCCCTCATTAGACATGTAAAGCATACCCCCTCATTAGTCAAGAAAAGTATGCCCTCCCTCAGTAGACAGGTAAAGCATACCCACTTATAACAGACAGGAAAAGTATGCCCTCCCTCATTAGACAGGTAAAGCATACCCCCTCATTACAGACAGGTAAGGCATACCCCCTCATTACATGTAAAAGTATGCCCTCCCTCATTAGATAGGTACAGCATACCCCCTCATTAGCCAAGAAAAGTATGCCCTCCCTCATTAGACAGGTAAAGCATACCCCCTCATTACAGACAGGTACAGCATACCCCCTTCATTAGACAGGTAAGGCATACCCCTCATCTTACTTAAAGGGTCCAGGGTGGCAAAGACCCTAAGGGATTAAGGAACCCAGGTTGGCAAAAACCAGGGAAATTATTCTTTTGAGTGTTCGTCTGTTTGCCAACCAGAGCCCAGAGGGTTGACAAGGGTATCAAAAGAATATGGCCCACAAAAATATAGGACTCAACGAGGCATGGATGGCTCAATGGTTAAAGACTGGGGAATACAAAAAAAAAGAAACATTTTTACGGTTTTAGAACTCTCGGGCACGACTACAGGTACATTCGGCTTAAAACCACCCGAATGGTCTTAAAATGATAATTTACACCATATACATGCTGTAAAGAACTCTTATGAATATTAATGTTTTGAGATTGGCAATTAAGCTAATATACTGTAGTAGAAAGGGTTGCTGGAAACATACACTAGTGAGATGTATCCAAGTTCTAGGCCAAGTAAAACATATAACAAACTCAATTACTTTCAGTATATTATACAATAGATTAAAGTCGCCTTGAAACACTGACTCGTACTCACCATCAATACGTGGCTGTCATTAATTGCAGAAGAGAACGTAGTGTGATGATCACTCGTGGTATAGTGATTCGTAATCGCACTCAGTCGACCACAGGAGCACTCACGACTCCTTCGTACTTGTGTTGCTGATGGTTCCTGTAAACATACTCATAAGAAAAAATAAATGAATATTTTGATTAGTTTAATATACAGATATACTTTTATGTATATCAATTTGACTAAAAAATATTTATATGTTGATAAGGAAGGTTTAAGTAACTTCATAAAGAGTAGGAAGCCAGAGTTAAGAAGTACGTTGGGATACGGGCATCTAGTTTGGTCACGTAGGCCAGTCTTCACTACATCAGTTTATTTTTGTTTATCAAATATGCAAATGCTCCTGAAAAAATTATATAAATAAAACTATATTGATCCTCATGTAATTAAAATGACAAATAATACTTTATTTGTGTTAAATATGTGATATATTGCACGACCACTTCAATATAACGTCAAAGACACATGTAATTATTTTTTATAATAAAATTATTATTAATATTAATTGTAGTAATACTGTAATGTAACAAAAGTAATTATTTACAGATATAAAATCAATATCACCAAGAGAACTACCCCATAGGTTCGGTGGAGCCGAATGCCAATGACGTCACGAAGCGAAAATAGCCGAACACTGTCGATGCCGCCGCACTGAGCGTCACTACCCTGCACAGAGTCGTGTGACTGTATCTGCTGCGTGTGTGTTTGTGTGGAGTTTGTTTGCATGGTCAACATGAGTTGCTACATCCAAGTGTGCGAAGAAGAGAATGATGAGCCCATCGAGATCCCCACCGAAGATGACAGCACCTTACTGCTATCAACTTTGGTGGCGCAGTTCCCCGGCGCTTGTGGTCTCAAGTATCGCCATGCCGAGAGCCGCGGTATGCGTGGCGTGAGGCTGGTTGATGGACGCCTTCATGCACCTGACGAAGGCTGGAACTATGTGTTTGTCTGCGTGTTCCCCAAAGGTGAGCGTTTTGGGGGTTTCTATCATGGTGTATAGGTTTAGTTTTCATGGCGACCGTTGGTGTTAAGGCTGTGGTGCGCCACGCCAGGCCATTGACGCGCATGCACACTGCGTTCATCAAGTTGGACGCGTATCATCTGATTATGACTGAATAAACAAGCTTCTGTGACATTTTTGTCGTATTTTATTTTAAACACCTTTTCTTAAAGGATAGACGTACCAAGATGAAGTGGTAGTCCTCAACATGGCGCAGGGAAGGACTGGGGCTGTCCTCCTGCCGGCCGGTGAGGCGGCCTCCGGAAACCGCCCGAGCCAGCCAAGCCTCGTCCTCCACAGACCAGGCGCTCACTGTATGGGGAGATTTATATTTTCACCACCGATCATGTTGACATCGGTTTTGTTGGCCATTTCTTGAAATTCAGAGAAGTTAAATACTATCTAAGAGAATCATAATCCAGCAACATATTGCCGCGACCTTGAGCAAAGACCCAAGCAGCTTAACTAATCCGGTAACATTTTAAGGTAAATTTGCAGTCACGCCGCACTGTTAGAAAGTAAAAAATAAATTTTTGTAGTGTTTAGACCTAATATGACCTTCATTTCTGACGGAAATTAGCCGTTTTTTATAGAAGTTTTTTCGTTGGACATTTTCCGGAAAAAAAATAATGGCAAAGTACACCAAGAAACACTAGAAAAACAAAAACCAGACCTTACCTAACTGACTCTCGCCATATGATGGAATCACCTATTTCGGTAAATTTGCATTGTCACACCTTTCACTTTTAGCAAGTAAATAATATATTTTTCTAGTGTGTGTGTGTGTGTTTAGACCGAATATGACCTTCATTTTTGGCGGAAATTAGCCGGGTTTTTTTTTTGAGATTTATTTTTTCGTTTGACGTTTTCCGGAAAAAAGTGGCTAAGCGACTAATACACAAAAAAAAAACACTAGAAGAACCTAAACCTAACTGACTCTCACCATATGATGGAATCACCTATTTCTTACCTTATTGGCCTGGTTCTTGTTCGTCGTTGCATTCTGGGATTCTTACCCAACGCCACATATGTTGGTCTTTGCGATATTTACATTCCGTCTTGCTCTTTGTACACTTTACTGAGGTTGGAAGAACACCATGCGATCGAAAAATGCTATAGTTTCTACGTTTTTTCCCCAAAACTCGCAATCAGCTCCATATACTTTAAGTGACCTCCATCGCAGACTTCCATGGTCGAAACTGAACTTGAATTTGAAGATATGAGACCCAAAATAAAACTCGATTTTGATTGGGCCAAATATACTGCGAATTAAACCCAAAATCATTTTATAATTGGTTGCAAAAACAAAAACGCTTTTGATTGGCTGCGTGACGTGTACGCATGCGCTTGATGATTTATGAAGGAGACGCGAGAGAGACAGTGTTGGAGGTGAGTCAGGCGATAATGGAGGAAGAGTAATGGAAGAAAATATAAAAAATTTGGATATGCTACCTCCGTTATTGTACATCTCCGCCAGTTATGTAATAAATGAAAATTATCTTATAATTAGACGTCTTATTAGAATATGATAATAGATTAGTGGTAGGAATGTGCGGTGTGTAAATGCATAAATACCAGTTTGTGTTGGTTATCCCTGTATTTAGGTCTTCAAACTTTCCCGTGGTATTGACATGTTTTGAATGATTTTGACCTTCATTTCTATCAGAAATCACCGGTTTTTTATGTACCTCTCCATAACCAACGGTAATGAGGGGACCCCGGGATCACAAAAACTAGTGATTTCTGACATGAAGGTCCAAATCGTTCAAAACAAAACCAAAAAATCAGAAAAACATAGCTTGTACAGTATATCCAGCCAAATGTAATGTAACCAGAATTTGCCACTGAAATGCTGGTAAAATTATCGTTTCGGTTGGTATCCATAGTTTAGACGATTCCAAGACACTTTTCTAGTATTTTTTTCCCGCTCATGACTACTTTCAGAAAAAATTGCAATACATTGTTGGAAAATTCTATTTTTTCTATGTTCTTGTTGGAAGCTGAAATTTTTTTTCCAATGATTTTGACGTTTTTGGAAGATTCTGACCATTTCTACTGCAAATCACTACACTTTGAGCTTCCACCCTCCCTATTCCAACGATAATAAGGGACCCCCAGTGGGAACCAGGGGTATTGGGTCGGGGAAAATCACAAATGAGTAGTAGTTTTCGATAGAAATGAAGGTCAGAATAATGCTAACCTAACCTAACCCAACCCAACCCAATAGAGAAGATCTAGACAAAGTTCTTATAATATCCGAGCAGGATAGGACTCGTAGCAATGGATTCAAGTTTGATAAGTTTAGGTTTAGGAGGGAGATAGGAAGGAACTGGTTCACAAATAGGGTGGCGGACGAGTGGAACAAGCTTAGCAATTTTTTAGTAAGTGCTGGAATGCTGAAAAGTTTTAAAAGGAGGCTAGATAGATTCATGGATGATAGTGTGGTAGTAAATCTTGACAGAACATAAGAAAATAAGGAGTCTGCAATAGGCCGGTTGGCCTGTGCATGGTAGCTCCTGTCGAGAGAGGAGCTGAGTGATTACATATTATTAATCATGATAATTTACCAAAAATGGGGATATACAGCAACTTATATTATTGTTGGTAATGCAATTTTGTCTTGATGTTTCATACTATCAACCTAGACTTTTTTCCTGCAGCAACATAAATTATTTATTGTAGGCAAGAGAAACCATCCTCGTCTAACTTCAAATGATTGAGGGTTTTATTTGACCTGTTTTAGGATATGTTTGGAATGTTGGTTAGGTTTAGTTTCAATTTTTATATTGTCACCAAGCACTTATTCACTTTAAAAAGGAGGAAAACCCATAAGCCAGGAGTTGCTTTTCCATCCTCCCATTTCTTTCTATTCATCACTTGAATTTGTTAATTGAAGATTTGTACAGTACTATCATACATATATCAATATTTACCGAGGAAAACACACAATTAGTAATAATTATTTACAGAGTAGCCCGCTTAAGAAGTCCGTTTTCTTTTCTAGAAAATGTTCCAAAGGTGTCTTCTTTGTAGTAGTCTGACATACAAAGTATTGCCTATACATTTGCAGGGTTAGGTTCTCAAAATGGCCGCACATCTGCGAATAACATTGGGGGGGGGGTACATTTTACTTGTGTACAAAGAAATGTATATTCCATTTGTGTTTGCCCTTAGTACAACTATTTCTTTTACCTGTAGTGTTGTGTGTGTAGATACACACACAACACAAAAATAAATAATAATTGGAAAATCCTCTAGCATAATTAGAAAAAAAATATTAAAAATGTGAGTATCCTCAAGTCGGTGCTCGATTAAGAAACTACTGTAATAGAGCACTGACTTGAAGGTAGACTCGTTTTTTTGATAAATTAATTTCTGATTATTTGTGAGTATTTTCCAATTTATTATTTATTTGTATCTTTTGTGTGTATACACAGATTTACAATACAGGCGAAGGAAATTACTGTCTCAAGAACGAATTGCTCCCTGTCCCAGCCGCGAAAATGATGACAACTTTAAAACTACCCACAGACATTCTTGGGTACATCCAGAGTGTCATCCGAGAATAACGGAGAACCGCGAACTGTGGGGGGGGGTTTATCTGGCTTTAAGATTCATTTGTTCTAATGTTTTATGTATACAGTATGCAAATACAATACGGTATTCATTACCTGTACAGTGCTGTATCTTGTTTCATCTGCACCAGTGAAATTTTTGGAGTGATTTCCTTTTGAACCTGTAAACACCTCTCCCATCATATAAAGGAAGTCCTATTAGTTAAATTTGTTTAAGTACTAATTCAGAAAAAAATATAAATTAAAAGAAATTCCACTCGACTTGCCTCTTTGACCCAAGAAAACCCTCCCTCTTCTTGAGGGAGGCTCGTTACATTGTATTTTAAACAAGGATGGATACCCTCCAGCTCAATTCTTGGTCAACTAATATTTTTGTTTATTGGCATAGAGTGGTTCCTGATTAGCTGAAATTTTATTCCTTTTTCTAGTCTATAACTAGATTTTCATTATTTAATATGTATACTTTTCTTGGATTTTTAAAACTTTTTTTTTTTTTTTCATACTGATAAGATTTGTGTAGATGAATGGGTATTGTGGCTCCTAATAATGGTTTAGTTCTTAAAATGTTGAGAAAATTCCTAGGCTTAAGATTATAATGGTAGAACCTGGTACTGTATTTACACTAAAAAATAATTGAACAGCTAGTTACATAATGAGCAATGCCTAAGCATACTAGTTATGCATTATGGCTCATAATGAGGAAAATTTAAATGTTCAATTAACAAGTGAATTTTAAAGTAATTTTATATGTGGCCCCCCTACATCTTTGCTTTTTGGTAGCCATTTTGGGTTTAAGGTACTGTACCATAGTTCATAATTGGAATGGAAATAGTTCTGTTAGTACATCTCCCGTGGTTCCTTGCACACCTTATTTCTTGAGTGGCTTGTTTGACATTCTGATTTTCATATTTCCCTAGTGGTGATTATACTAATATTGGTCTAATTTTGTTGATTTATTGTAAGTGACTGGTCTGTTAGGGGCATAACCTGGAATTCTTTAAGCCACTGCAAGTACAGTACTGTACAGTGTACTGTACTATATATAGGTAATGGGGGTCTGCATTCTGACTGGGCAACATTACAGTACCTGGCCAAATCAAATAAATAATTGTTACTCCATTGACCACCAAATAAAAGTTTGTGGTTTGAATTATTTTTGTATTTTACTCTTTTTTATTATTTCCCCAAAATTACGCCAGAAAAATTATTCTATTAATTTTCTCTAAATTTCAGGAATGGAGGCCATTGGTTCCCAAGGTATGCACATTTGTGGCTTGAGTCGTTTTATTTTTTATTTGGATTTTATGGAATTCTGTCTTTTTTTTTCTCTTTTTTCTTTTTTTTTCTTTCTTTCTCTCTCTCTCTCTCTCTCTCTCTCTCTCTCTCTCTCTCTCTTTCTTTCTCTCTCTCTCTCTCTCTCTCTCTCTCTCTCTCTCTCTCTCTATTATCTGTAATCTGTACAAGTTGAGTAATTTACCTGTTATCTCTCTTGGCAGCTCTTTTGCTGAAATCAGACCAATTGAGTGTTGAGAGGTGTTACATTCATGCTGTGGTTGTGTGCCTTCAGTAAAACTAGGTGGGAACAGGTAGTTAAAATCAAAAGTAAGGTACCGTTGACAACAGAAGTTTGTCCCAGTCCAATTTGCATATGAGGCTGATGATCTGGTAACATTATGGGGAAGAGTTGACAGATAGGTTTTAAATTACTTAAGATTTATGGTTGGAGATTGTCTAAGAAAACATTTTCTGTATTTAACTTAAATATTATCACAGTAAATTGTAGGAATATAATGTTACAGTGGTCCCTCGGTTAACGAGCATAATTCGTTCCAGAAGGTTGCTCGTTAACCGAAACCATTGTTTCAATGGGTTTTTGGGTAATTGGTTCCTGCTCACCGAAAATTACATACAAACGAAAAATAAATGCAGCAAAGTACTTACTTTGAGGTGTGCATGCAGAAGGCTCCTGATTGATGATGATGGGAATTAGAATGGGGGTGGAGGAGGAGGGAGAAGAGAAGGCATTAGGGTGGAAGAGAAGTCACCCCGTGCTGCCATTTCACCCATAAAGTTTTAGTTCACTTGGTGTAATTCAAGATTATTTTCTTTGAATCAACACTGCACTGCGCTATATATTATCAATATGTAAAATATATTTCAATGACCAATAATTTGACTGGAAACAGAAAAAAACGGTTTGTCTCAAACAAGATGTTCCTTCCTCTGAACCTGTAAACAAACTGACGCCAAGCTTGGTGTGTTGAGTGGCTGTTTGGCGCACATAAAACTAGTTTCATGTACTTCAATTATGTTCAGTAATTGTTAAAATGACTAAAAAAAATTAATATAAAACTTTTAAAATGATTGAATAGTACAACCTTCTTGATATTTACTAAAATGGTAAGGAAATTTAAGTCCTAGAACCGATTACTGTTTTGGCGGACATGCTACAGCTAGTGAGCAAGCGAAAACATGTTGAGGGGCGCTCGTAAGGAATTCGTTAATCGGGGGACTGCTCGTTTACCGAAGTGAAGAATCTTATGGAAGGTAATTCATTAACCGAAATTTTAATAACCGAGGGATCACTGTATTAAGAATTATGACGTTCCTGCTGAATGGTTCAGAATTGGAGAACAAGACGTATCATTAATGGTGATGCCAACGAGGATTTCTCGAGCTTAATGGTATTTTCAGTATAAAGTAGTCATATTTTTTAATAACATTCCAATAAATTCCTCCAATTTACACATTTGTACAATTGAGTTGCATACTGTACAATAAAATTTTTCTTAGGCTTTCGCTGATCATAAATCTTAGGTAATTGGTAATTTAAAATGTCGACTCTTCCCCATACAGTGTTACCAGATCACCTGCCTCGTATCATGTAATTGGGTTCAGCTTTTGCTGTTGAGAGTACCTGTACAGCAGTTGCATATGAGAATTTACCTAAGGGAGTATAGGTGATTTACTTGAGGGGGAATCTTAAAATTTCTAATTGGAGTTTTTGAGTATTGGATAAGTTAATTTTTTGTGGGCATCTAAAAAATCTAGGTTAAGAGAAGTCTGAAGTTTTTTAAATGGATGTTAATGTGAAATATACTTCAATTAACAGTTGGTATAATAAATATGTAAAGTTCAACATTTCAAAGTGGTCAACTGATTAGTAAATGTAGGCAAAAGGTTTATCAAGTGAATACCTAATAAAAACACCGTACAGTACCACATTTTATTTATATACTTTATTCTTTACCTTCCCTAACACTAAAAACTTCATTTGTCCTTCATTTCTGTGTACTTTGCCAGTAATAGAAGTCTTTCGATTTCTCAAAGCACACAACAGTATTCTGTTCCCACTGTTTTTCCTGAAAGCAGTGCCATCAGTGGTGGGTCTGGATTTCAAATCAAAGAAATCACTTGGTCAGATGTGGGCTGTAGGGAGAAGGGCCTGGCTAATTTTAGTGAGGGGAGGGGGGATGCATCTGGGCAGCATCCCCTTTAGTTCCTCCTTCGGGAGAAAGCAGTTTTTTAATTGGGCCAGAATAAGATCTTATGCTATAGATAGTCGGGTAAAATCCCGTATTTGGACCATGAACGTGCTAGAAAAGGGTTGACTTGTGAACTTCTTGGGATCAGAGATAGATTACTGGTGGATTCCTTCTTTTACTCGCGGTCTCGTGTGGTAAATCCAGGAGCTCTTGGCCTGAGACCATCCTTTGATTTCAATCTTGAGCATATGGCAAACCTTTATACAGAGACCACCAGACATCCCCGAAAGTTCTTAAGTTGCGAACACATCTTTTCAAGATGGGATGCCACCCTCGCTGCTTATTCTATTGGTTAGTTGAACCACCATAAGGATGCACTTGACATTTTATTTGCTTCATTGGTGGCATCTGTAGGTACATTAGTCTGAGAAAGGATCCTCCTTGGGGATGTCATGTCCATACTTGCACTCTTGGCCCACCTTGATACTGTCCAGTGATACGGGGTAGGGGGGCTCATAAGTGCCAAATACATTACTGCCTTGTATTGATGAATTTTCTTTGCAATGAAACTTTATTTGGAAACTTGACAGATGCTTAATTTTTTTGGAATTTATCATTTTCAATGTCAACTAGAAAGGTAAATTGTATTGCAGTAGTCAACTTACCTGAAACAAACACTCCAGTATTCAATTTTGTCAAAATACTAGGGCCCTGGTGGTTTCTAGCCCAAGTCGGGTTTTTGAAGCATTTGTTGTCAACTGGTAATGTTAGGTAGGTCTGAAGCTAGCACTTGTATATCCTACATGTGGAGTACAAGCCTTCCTACTGAACTCTCCTTTTCTATTTCTCGTAACAGATTTTCTTATCAATGGAAATGTTTATTGCATGCACTTAGCTTGGAAGTTTTAGCTTGTAGTCTTAGTATTTCACATTGTTAGGGACCAAGCTCATTCTGAAACAACTGTATAGGAAATTTTCCAAAAAAATACTAGTCACCTCTGTACCCAATACCTACAGTAGGAGGCATACAAGTGCTTTGCCAAAGTTAGAGAGGATGGGCACTATGTTTGGTAACGTTTTAAAGTTCCACAAATTTATGTACTGTATACCACAATTGTTTTAATATTGAAATTCTCCATTTTAGTACTGACTGGCATTTTTGAGTTGGGTGATTAAATTTGGGATTTTAAACTGGGTGTGGAGTATTGTCTTCTCCTACTTACAAACCTACAACTTTGTGGCAGACAATATAGACAGTACCTTGTTTTATGTTTTTTTGGAAATGGCTATAGGAACACTGACCACTTGCCATATAGCACAACACTGTCCTCTACCCGGCATGTAATAAATGTTGTCTGATGTCTGTTTTCACCTCAAATTTATCCACTTTCACCTCAAATTAACCACTTTCACTTTTTGAGGTATAGTTGACAAAGTACTGACAATCATTTTACACTATTTTAGTTTAATTTTTAATGTAATTGGGCAGATAACTATGCATGTCTGCACATCTCGAAGGTGGTTCTTGGTTGATAGTTTTAACCAAGCCTTGCATTGTGATTGTCAAATATTTTGGTCTTGGGGAATTAATTTGGGATGATAATGCATACAGTACTTGCAATCAAATACATTTTGTTTTTACATGTTATGTTGAGTAAATTGAAACTGATGATGTAACCTGCAGTAGACAGTTTTTAATTTAGTTTTTTATATCATTGGAATCTTGATTCTTCAGCAGACTTTATTCAAGAATCCTCAAAATATTCCAATAAATTCTATTAACCATCAGAAACACCCAAAGTTTAGAATAAATCTTGTAGTTCCTGTTGTTGCCCCTGTATTGTTCAGAACCTTATTTGCCTGTACAGTACTTACATATCCGGCTTTGGTATACTGAACTGTACGGTACTGTAATTTATGAATTTGGAAATGCTTAACTCGAAAGGAAACCCAATACACATGACACTGGAACACAGTTTACATATTTGCATATATAAAAACTAAGTATAGTATGTAGTATATGTGGCAACAATTTCATGAAAAGAAAATAATTTGGGTAATAGGTTTTTTTTTCAGCCTCAATGTGCCTGATCACCTACAATTTACCATCTCAAATGATATCTTAACATTAAGGGTATTGCTGTTGCTCATTACACTTACTGGTTGCTGTTCTGGCATCTCAAATCAATTGAAAAATACTGTAAAGTAAGAAATTGCAGGAAAGTTCTGTCAGGGTTCAGAGATTGGTTTAAAAAGATTCCATTTGTTTGTGAAGAATTTTGTTATACTGTGGCCAGTTAAAGTGCTCTAGAGTTTATGGTACATTCATTTCCTGTAGGTAAAGTTGTCAATAACATGGTTTCACCCAATATGAGATATATGTTCGTTTGTGTGAGGCCTAATTAATTAGTTTTGATTTTAGACAAAGCTGCATGTCACTAATTAAGGTGAAGCATCTGATAAAGCCTTAAAACTCAACTAATATTATGCCCCCTTGAATGGATAAATGGTTTTACTACTCTAGAAATTAGTTCACATGTGGAAACACATTTGGTCATTTGATAGTTCATGTTTTCATGCCATTTTGGTTTAAAATGACATATCCAGTACAGTGGTCCCTTGGTTAACGAACGGTTCGATTAACGAATTAGCCCCCATAAGGATTTTCAGTTCGATTAATCCTTATGACAAACACGTTTTGTTGTATGCATCAGCTGGTCAGCTAGTCCGCCAATACAGTAATCGGTTCTATGTTTGCATTTGTTTCCAGTGGATTAAATATCAAGAAGGTTGTGTTCTTTGATATTTTTGCATTTTTGTTTTTATTAAAATTTAGTCATTTTAAAATTTAGTTTTTATAATATATGCAGTGCAGGGAACTATTTTTTTGTGTGCCCATCAGCCGCTTGACTCGCTCGCCAAAGCGTCTTTGTTTAACTTTGTTTACAGTGGAGGAAACATCGTGTTTGTTGGTCTCTTGAATACAGAGTATTTTTATGTTTTTACATTAAAATTATTGGTCATTCTGAAATTTAGTTAACATATTGATAACATATAGCGCAGTGTAGTGTTGATTTAAATAAAATGTTAGAGAATCTGTCAGTCCAGAGGTTCCTGACATTATGATGGAAGGTGACTCGCCTTCCAAGAAGCATTATGCTTCTCTTCTCTTCTCCCTTCTCCTCCACCCCCACTTATAATTCCCACCATCATCAACCAGCAACATTCTACATACACACCTCAAAGTAAGTGTACTGTACTGCAATTTGTTTATACTTTGTATGTACTTTTCTGTGATCTGGAACCAATTACCCAATATCCCATTGAAATAATAGATTCGGTTAATGTGGAATGAATTGTGTTCGTTAATCGAGGTACCACTGTATTTAAAAAAAAAGGCTACCAGTGTATAAAAGTATGGGAAATAGCCAAGTTTAGTGCCATTCCTCTGATTTAGAAATTGGGAGCTTTTAGTAATTATGGACTAACCTGCTTCAGGATGTTATGAATGCTCTTAAATTTTAGTGAGAAGTTTTTTTTTCTCTTACTTGGCAGAAAATAAACGCAAGTCAGATGACCATCTTGAGAGTTCCATGTCAAAGACTAAGAGGATGGAGAGCAAGCAACGATGCTCGGACTTGATTGTCTTGGGACTGCCTTGGAAGACAACAGAAAAGGAATTGCGTGAATACTTTGAGCCTTTTGGAGAGGTTCTCATGGCACAGGTAAGTTTGTGGATTTGGTTGTTTTATTTGAAATGGTTGACAGTTGTGAGTTTTAAATTCTATTCAGTATGAAGATGTACAGTATATATAAAATTACTACTACTACAGATGAATTATGTATTTACAGGTTAAGAAAGACCCCAAGACCAGTCAAAGCAAAGGATTTGGGTTCATCAGGTTTGGCAATTACGAAACCCAAGTAAGAGTTTTGTCCCAGCGGCACATGATTGATGGGCGGCTCTGTGATGTCAAAATCCCCAATTCAAAGGTAGTTCATAGTTACATTTGCTTATGTAGTTAATTGTTGACCAGTTAGCCTGTTTTTTGGAAAGTGTTTTTCTCCCTTTCCCCCAAAACCCTGAAAGAATAGTCTGATCATATCAATGACATGATCAGACTTTATTATTACCGTAGTACTCTTTTTTTTATATGTATACCAATAGCAGGAATTTGTATGGTCTTGAACAGGAATGCATTGTTCAAGATGCTTCAAATGTGCTGATTTCTGGTCAACAAAGGTATTTCTTTGGAAGGTATATGTAGGTGTATACTGTTACATTATCTGATCCAAGAAATTAATCTTTTCCAGCAGGAAGGACAAATTCAGCAGGTGAACAGCAAAGTGTTCATTGGACGATGCACAGAAGACATAAGTGCTGATGATCTTCGTGAATACTTCAGCAAGTTTGGTGAGGTCACCGATGTTTTCATTCCTAAGCCATTCAGGGCTTTTGCCTTTGTTACTTTCTTAGATCCTGATGTAGCTCAGAGTCTCTGCGGTGAGGATCATATAGTGAAGGGCACGTCAGTTCATGTGTCAAATGCTGCACCCAAGAGTGACCCCAATCGTGGACCTTTTGGGCGTGGTGGACGCATGGGTGACGGGCGAGGATATGGTCAGGGTGGTTATGGGCAGGGAGGATATGGTCAGGGAATGAATAATGGTGGGAATTGGAATCAGAGTGGGAACCGTGAAATGCCCAACTTAGCAGCCTTGGGTACCTCACTGGGTCTTGGGGGTTCTGGGCAGGGTGGCCAAGGGAGTGGACAGAATGTTAACCCACTAAACATGGGAGCATTAACCATGCCCATGCTTGCTGCTCTTAGCCAGGCCAGCTGGGGTCTCCTAGGTAACCTGCAGCAGCAGAACCAAGATGGATCCCAGGCTCCGGGCGGCTACAACCAGGGAGGGCAGCCCAACCAGGGGGGAGGACCCACTAATAATCCTCCCCCAGTTAACCAGGGTGGGGGTCATGGAAGCTGGGGAACTGGTAGCTCAGGTGGTGGTTGGGGAGATGGCAGTCAGGGTGGGTCTTGGGGCCCTTCTCAGAGTAGGGAGAAGTACAACAGGTATGATATGTAAGAATGTTTGGCAGACCTGGGTGGGTGAGGAGTGGATGAGACATCAGGCCATGACAAGTAGAATGCTGAAGTAAAGACTTGTTTACATCAATTGAGTGACTGCTGTAAGCAACATCTTTTTATTACCTGCCTGCAAAGGCAGAGGGGGTGGCTCAGGGGTGTTCAAAGTGTGTGTGGGTCAAGTCAACACTCCCTCTTCCCTTGTCTAAAGCATGCTCTAGTTTTAGCCAAGTATTCACTTTAACTATAATGAATAATATTCACGCTTAGTGTGTATCGTTGGTGTGGTGATCATGTATGGGTGGGTGCTGGGGCCCAAGTACTTGGCCCTGAATGTTGTAGCAGTGTTTGATCACATGGTATGATTGTAAGGGCACTCCTCTCTTGCTGCGTGTAGCCTCCCGGGGCATGGGTGGTGGCAACTTTGCCAGAAGGAACGTGACCAACCGTGTGACAGCTACATTGTACTGAGAGTGGTATGGACGTGTGGATGGCAGAGCTTGCCAATGCCAGGGCCGTGCAGAACATTCGGTTCATTGGGTGTGTAAGTCTCAGTAGCGTGAGAGAGAGGCCCTCTGAATCCTTCAGGGAAGCGGAATGTTTCCTAGTGATCTAGGGTTCACTGGATTGATTTCACTTCTTTGATGGGTGGAGAGGATCTGAGGCAATCAGTACCATGAGCCTGGCTCCATACCGTTCTCATGAAATGCTGTTATTATATTAATGTTACAGTTGACAATTGATTTCCAACCTGCTTCACAACACCATTGTAATCTAAGGTCACACTTTATTGCTTACCCCATAGCTTAGCTGTTCGCCTTTTGTGAACAGTGTGGAACCAGGAGTCTTGTATATAGTGTGCGTTTGTTTACAGCAAGATTGTGAGAATGTTAGCAATTTCCTGCTTGGAATTTTCTCATGGTTCCATCTCCCCACTTATATTCAGGGACAAAGTTCTGTGTGGAATGGTTCTAAATGCTTGGAATTGCTGACAATTTCACGAGTTATAATCATGTTTCTCACTCTAATCACAGACTCAATATTTGCCAGTGTGAGGTGTGACCGAGGAAGCCCTGAGTGTGTAGACTAGGAAGGCCAAGCTATGAGTGTGTGACAATGCAACATATTGATATATTTTGAAAGTCCTATATGAGCATTGGCCTCTTTATTTTAATACTTCGTGTGCATCTCTAATAAGACAACCAAAAAGTGCATGAGTCTCATTGGCCTAGTGTAGACTCTGCCCCTTATTCCCTGCTCAACACATCTTGCTTAGCATTCTGTCAATGAGCACTGCACAAGTGTGAATTCAATGTTTAGGAAAGTAATCTCATTGTCCATAGTGTACTGGACAAGATTTGCAATTGTTTTTAAAATTCATTTAATGCAGATAAGTTTGTTTGAAACTGTGCATTAAAATTTATATTGCAGATGTTTTTGTCAGTTTCAAACTGTGCAAAAATGTGTTCATGGCAATAAGTCGTCTGCTTCACTTATATATAGATATATTCTGGGGAAGGGGCAACTACTACCTTGACCTCACCTGACCTCCCCTCTCAGTGTTGCCGAGGTCACTGACCTGGGAATCACAGTACAAAGTCTGTGTGTTGAGCATGGTGGTAAGAAGTGCCGGTCAGTTGGAAGCAGGAAGGCAGTCATCCTAGCATTAGATTCGAGCATCAAATCCAAATTCTTTGACTTCGGTCATTGTTTCAAGTGGCATTTACTTTAGTTAAGATTTTATCAAGCAGGTTTGAATCTCGATTCTATAGATGTTTGGCTGTTTGGTTAAAGTAGTTGGTATTTTCTGCTTAGGTATCAGTTGAATTGGCTTTACATATAGCTGTTCTTCACCCTTCCTGCTCTCCTCTGGCACGCGATGAAAGAAGGTATGACAGAGCCACGTACGATTAACAAGCAGGCCTTGTGTTTACCACAGGATCTTTCTCAGTCATAAGTGGAAGAATATTTTGTTTGAGTTTTTGGCATGAGTGAATTTCAGTACGGTTGACTAGTAGTTTCATAAACTACAAACATGATGCTGTTTTTTTTTTTTTTTTGTTTTTTTTTTCTCTCCATTCATTTCACCCAAGATTTTAATTCACATTATTCTTAGAATTTTCACCCATATACGAGGTGTACATGTACTCCATACGGGCTCTTTATGAAAAGTGTGTGCTGTGAGTTTTTAATGAAAACAAAAAAAATTATAGGAAGGTACAAAAGTTGTGCGTCCTGCTGTCAGGTGACCAGAGTGAGTTATGCGTGACCCAAAAGCCGGACTGGTATATTTACTTTCTCAGTTTGGTAAAGCCTTCCTTGGACAGAGCATGGAGTTGAGCATATATTAGCCATATTAGTGTGAACAAAATCTGTAGATCTCCATGTTTTCCCCTAGGAATGGCAATCATGTCAAGTTCACTAAAAAAGTGTTGTCATCTTCAACCTGTAACAACGTAATCTTGAAGGGGTGTGCACTGCAATTCATTAGGATGGGAAGGACCCAGTAGTTAGTGCCAGGGCCAGGCAGATATGAACTGTTGGTGATGCAAGATCGAAAGTATGGCCTAACATCTGCATGTATTTATGGTAGAATGATTTATGGACTTATGAAAATGTGGTGAAATTTGAGTATTATTGTATGGATTCTGAAACATGACAAAGAATGATATGTGAGATTTAAGTTGTAAAGGAGTTACAATGAATGTGGTGAGGCAGGAGTGAGGAGGAGTAAATAGGAAAATGAAATGAGCAATAAAGTCTTGAGGATGCTTTAGTGGGGCCCATTTTCTTGTTAAAAGTTGAAAATGGACCTTTCTAAAGTATTTTCCCTCAGACTGCTGGTCATGCAAGAATTTGGAGCGCTTTCTACTGTTGTCCTTTCGGGCGTGATTGTGAATGTTTGTATTGCTAGAATGCTCTGTCTAATAAACGATTCACAGCCAAATTGCCTTTGCTTTCTTGACCTTTGTATTAAAAGTGAAGTTTAAAATTTGGTCAATGGACAACTGCTGTTGCTGAGCATCGGATGTTTCATGGCGTTTTATTAGAAGAGCTACAGTTAACTTGGTAAGTCTAAAATGGTGTTCAAAAGTATTGTATGCAGTACATGTTGGTCAAATGAAATATTGACAATAGGTATTACAGGAGTAACAATACCCTAAGACTAGAAGTTGTTCCTGGTACCCGAAGTCTAGGGTTAGTTTTTAATTTTTACTTCAAAGGTGCAGTACATCACACCACACCACAAGTTGTCTTCATTATATAAACACTAATTTGTTTTAAGGAATGGGAGCTTTCTGTATATTATACTCAGGAGTGATATTTTTGTATATAAAAAAATTATCATACAAGGGAAGTTCAATACATTACTAGTTGTATGAAATATGTGAAATGGTTTGTACTATTTTGCACTAAGTATCCAAAAGCTGAGAACTACCATATTTTTCGGCTTGGAAGATACACCCTGATTTTGGAGAAAAAAATTATACCTTTTTTTTGTGGATTAGCCCACCTGGGCACAGGTCACTGACCCACATCAGGGCCTAGGGGGTGAAAATGTAATAGTAATAACTATAAAGAAATACAAAAATTGAAACACAAAATCCAGAGAGAAACAATATATGTATGTTTTGTTGTCAAAGAGAAACAATTGAGACCCTGCAATTGTGTGTAAATGAGGCAGAAAGGCAGATCAGCAACCTGGGACTTGGTCACAATTTTTGTTTTGCCATATGGCAGCAGGGTCTACCAATATCTTCCCAGGCAGTAGTACCTCCCTGTTTAGTAGCTGCCTACTACCGACACCAGTGAAACTGTTGCTTGATACACAGCCCCTTTTGGCACAAATACATACACCTCATTGAATATCATCACTTCCTACTGCTTATCAGTCATCAATTTAAAAAAAAAATAAGGTGAAATCTTTAATACAGCACTCCTTTTATACACCTGGTCCCCTCCGCATCTAGCAGGCTGTAGTGTTTACATTCTTTCTCTGGTTTTTGTTGGTATGCCAACGACAGGAAATATTTTCCAACAGTAGACCCCATTGACAGGAAAGTTGCTTCAGACATAGGAACTTCCAAATTGTATCACAATCTTTTGATAGTTTGATTTTTAACCTCTGAATGTCAATTTGATAAATGCCTCTAACATTGATATGTTATCATAGATGGTAAAATTCACCCATGCCTCGTTAGCCTGTAATTCTGCTATTTTGAGGACAAATGAGCCACACTGTTTTACATCTGTCTGTCTTGAATAGAAACTGAACAAAATCCAAAGACTCGGTAAGCAACTCGGGAAATCTATCATTGAAATGTGCTGCCTTTTTTTGTTGCTTAATGTGTTATCAGCGTTCGCCTTCCCTGGACTGACCCGACTTGACACAAGGAGAGTAACTGCATTATTCCCTTGACCATAATTTATTGTCCTGACTTGACTAGACAGCACGTGGGCCATGTTCTTCAGTCCTTGACACCTGGACTATAGTTCTATAGGACTCATGATTTCAATGCGACCCCTTATGATGCATCTTGTGACCCCATTTGGGGTCGCTACCCCGTGTTTGGGAACCACTGGTCTTGTGACCAATGAGAATCCAAATCTCTTGGGGCATGTTAACTTTTAGAGAATTTTGAGGTTGATGACTGGCACCTACAAAATTTCTCCAGCTTGGAGTATCAAGCTGCTGAGGAAAAATATAAGAACTGTTTGGAGATAACCGTAATGAATTGCTTAAATTTGGAAAAATATTCACTTTACATAATAACCTAGTTGTATGTTGGGATAATGTCCAGGTGGCTTATGATGGTTGGTCCACAAACCAATCTACATTCATCTCCCTAATGGCAATTGGTGAGAAAAATCTGCACTGTTGAAGATGATCTGGTATATGCCTCATACAGTATTTGAGTAAAAAAAACCTGTGGGTTCAATGTTCATCTTCATACAGTACCTGTGACTGGAAACAAGGTGTATAAAGACAACTGACAAGAAATAATGGGAAAGGGTATGGTTGTGCATATCATACATCCATGTAACTGCACTACAATAATTCAATTTTCATAAAGATAAATTTGGGTCTGCCAAAACAATTGGCGAGTCCTCTTACAGGACAGGGATAGAAGTTCAGTCAAGTAGAAAACTTAATGCTTTTCCACAAAAAGTACTGTACTGTATGAGTATCGGGAAGTAACTTAAGTCAGCAGTGAGGTTGTTGATATTCACTGGTAAAGGTACATACATTTGTCATCAAGGAAATGCCAATCTAGTGCACGCGACAGCACCTAACCGGAGTTGGAACTGGGCCTCATTTTGTCTTGTCAATCAAAATGTATGTACGTGTGAAGGCACCTTAAAGGACCAGCTGATCATGTGGGTGATTTTAGAGGTAAAATTAGGATATATAACTAGGCTATTATAGGTTTAATTTTAAGAGGGAAGAAATTATTGTTCAAAAAGTAAAGGACTGCTCAGTCATTGTAGTAGTACTGCCCATGAAATAGTTGATAGGTTTTTTATCTTTCCCAACTCTTAACCCTTTCACTGCGTGGCTCGACTTTATTCACATTTTTATTTTTGTCCTTCACCGCGTAAATCGACTAGTCCACATTCTTAAAAAATAAAAATCCACTAACGTGTACCCCGACTACAGTCCTTCACGGTTTGAATTTCATGCCGACCCAGTAGATGCTGCCACCTAGCGGCGATGGGCAAGCTGGAGCTCCTGCCATCAAAAGATATAAACAGGACGAGGGAGACACTGCTAGATCGACGCCGATGAGGCCAACGTAGCTGCTCGTGTTTTTTGCTCATTTTCCCCATTTTTATTACAACTTTTTATATTGTATATATAAGGTTAGTATTTATTCTATAGATTCAATACTAGCACTTGGAGAGTGATAATCATTAAATTAGAAGGAAAATAAACGAGGTAAGTTGGGAAGTAAAATTATTTCTTGCATATGCCATGATGGAAAATTGTGACATTGTTTATTCATATTTTTTAGAGAATAATGGTATATGGTGATATTTTAAAAGTTTAAGAGTGCTATATGAATTATGCATTAGAAAGCAGTAGTGCAAAATTAATAGAGGAGAGAGGGAATAGAGCGACACAGATAACCAGAGCCAAACCTTGTCATATTGAGATGGGTTTTCCGATACTTCATGTTTTTCTTTGCCTTTCAGAAATGTCTTCAAAATGCAAGCGAAGTGTCACACAAGAATACATCGAAGCAGCGATTGCCCAGTCAGATAGTGACGTTTTATAGGAAAGACTTCTGGGTAGTAGATAATGACGAAAATTACCATGTTATTTACTTAGACTTTAGCAAAGCGATTGACAGAGTACCACAACAGAGGCTTCTGAGAAAAGTTAAGGCTCGTGGTATCAAGAGGAAAATTTTAAATCGGATAAAATCATAGCTTACCGATAGAACACAGAGGGTTAGCGTAGATGGTGTTAAATCTGAGTGGGGCTGTGTAACCAGTGATGTTCCCCAGCGGTCAGTACTGGGCCCACTCTTGTTCATAATCTACATAAACAATCTAAATACTGGGATCAGCAGTGACATAATCAAGTTTGCGGATGACACCAAAATAGGGCGGCAGATTAATTCAGGACAGGATGCAAATGCACTACAGGAGGATTTAAATAAACTGCAGGAGTGGTCAGGAAAATGGCAAATGATATTCGACACCAGCAAGTGCAGCGTACTTAATATTGGAAGAACAACTACTGTCAATGTATACAGCCTTAACAACATCAACCTTGAGAAGTCGACTTGTGTGAGCGACTTAGGGGTACTTGTAAGCCCGGACCTACGGCCTAGAAAACAGTGTGTTAATGTTCGAAATAAGGCAAACGGTATTAGGTTTTATATCTAGAAGTGTAAATAATAAGAGTGCGGAGTTCATATTGCAACTAAATCTTGCGCTAGTCAGGCCGCACCTCGATTATGCTGTTCAGTTCTGGTGCTCATATTATAGAATGGATATCAATTCACTGGAGTTGGGACTTGGAAACCTTCCATATTAAGATAGATTAAAGAAACTAAACTTGCATTATCTAGAAAGACAGAGTGCAGAGAGATATGATAGAAGTATTTAAGTGGGTGAAAGGAATCAATAGGGGAGATATAGATGTTCTTGTAATATCTGAGCAGGATAGGACTCGTAGCAACGGATTTAAGTTACATAAATTTAGGAAGGAAGCAAGGAACTGGTTCACAAATAGGGTGGTAGACGAGTGAAACAAGCTTAGCAACTTTGTAGTAAGTGCTGGGACGCTGGAAAGTTTAAAAGGAGGCAAGATAGATTCATGGACGATAGAGAGTGGTTGTAACTCAACAGGAGCTGCCATGCACAGGCTAACCGCACTATTGCAGACTCCATATGTTCTTACGAGTTAGAGGGGTGATTTCGATGACCCCGCCTGGCCGTCACCTGTAGCTAGCAGTGAGGAGAGTGGCGACGAGGAAGATGAGGGCGAAGCTGTAACTGATGAAAGCCAAAATGTACTTTTCCAGGAATATCTACCGGAGGGGATGGAATTACTCCTACATGGGCAAAGACTGAAAATGTGAAAGAACATCCACCTGTGCAACTTTAGGGTGAATCAAACTTCGCTAGTACCTCTGGACCTATTGGGTTCTTGGATTTAGCCCCAGTTGAATGTTTAGCAAGTTTTTTCCCAATGAAATTTATGCTCGTGTTGCTGCAGAAACAAATAGGTATGCTGCAGACATGATAAGATCAATGGAACCATTATCTGAGGTCAAGGTATCTGTGCTGGTCAGATGTTGCAGCAGGGGAAATGAAAGCGTTTGTGGCATTAAAAATCTGCATGGGACTTGTACACTCATGCGCCATAGTTTCGATGCACCCTCTACTGCTACTCCTGGCTGAAGGGTAGTAGTAGTAGTCGTCAGGGCTGCAAACCGAACGGTCCCCCTCTCGTATAGTGATGGTAAATAAAGTGTCATGAAGTCACTAAACCTGTATCGTGCATATATTATCAAATATTACTTCATGAACACGAGCTACCACATTTCACCACTGAACAATGGGGGGGGGCGTGTTGGTATAAAGCCAAGGCTACGACTTCCATTGAGTTGGGTAGAGGGTGCATGGAAACTATGGTGCATGAGTGTACATCAACTCGCTAGAGGAATATTGTCAATAAATTTTGGGTGACAACTATGACTGGATTTAGGTCTACCATGTCTAGACCTAGGTATGAACTCCTAAAATCATTCCTGCACTTTGCAAATAATGAGAGGGGAATCAATGAAGACAGATTTTATAAGATTAGCCCCATTCTTGACGTAGTTAAAGATTTGTATGTGTCTGCATATTCCCCACAGAAAGAACTAAGTGTAGACGAATCCATGCTGAAATTTAAAGGTAGGTTATTTTTCAAGCAATACCTACCATCTAAGCCATCGTCAAAGTGGGGAATTAAGCTGTGGTCATTGTGCGAGTCAGACAGGGTACTTGTTAAAATTTTGTGTGTACTGTACAGGTAATTTACGGCTGGGATTTGAAAACAATGATCATGTACTTTATGTTGACAACTTTTATACACGAGTATTCTACTCTTTGAAGACCTTAGAATGAATAACATTGGGGTATGTGGCACTGTTTGTGTTACCAGAAAGGGGCTGCCCAAAGATATGAGAAATGTGAAGATGAAATGGGTTGAATTGCCTGTTATATGGAACAATGAAAATAAAACATTGCTTGCCTGCACCTGGCAAGTTACGGGGAGAGTGAACATGCTGTCTACTGTGGAGTAAAGGAAGTGACTGGAAGATCTAAAAAGGGTGACAAAGGTAAATGGGGGGTGTCAATTTGTTGGACCAGTTTTGCTCGACCTGCCCGTACAGCAGAAAATCACATAAATGGTATCAAACACTGGCACTTTACCATTGAAACGGCATTAGTGCATTCACAAATATGTTAAACAGTGAACATACAGGTGCAAAGCTGAACCAAAGGGATTTCAGAAAGTCGTCAGGTTTGTTGGAAAACCATTCACCTACCCCTACCAGTCAAACACGTAGGGATAGTGAGATACCATTGGCCAACAGGCAAAGTGAAAGGCACTTTATAGCACAATATGAAGACAAGAAACAAAAGCCAGAATGTGTGGTATGCTCAATAGTACCAAAGCGAACCCTTGAACTTGTCGGCTTACCTGAGCAAGGTATTGGTGATAGTGAGGTTGTGTGCAGCACACTTGCTGAGGAGGAGTAGGCCATTGGGGTTATACTTGCCTAGTCCATTTCTCCCAATGATTCCCTGCCAAATGTCGGCAGAAAAGTAATCGGAGACGTGACCGATCGCCCAAGTGGCTAACAAGCCAATCTGTGGCGAAGAGGTTAAAAGTAAAAAGTAAAAGTATCTGCCAATTCTGTCATTAAAGTCACCAAGGAGCACAACCTTATCTTCTCTGGGGATAGAGGTTAGCACTATAAAGGTTGGCATAAAAGGCCTCCTTGATGCCTCTGCATCCAGTTTTGGGGTCGGCACAGCAGGAGTCTTGATGAAGAGGCTGTGTACTAGCAGGCGAAGACTTGGGCAAGTTGCTTCCCTGTTCACCACGGAGACTAGCCAGCAACGGTAGCTGAGAGCGAGAGGGAGCAAGCAGTGCTTGCACCATAACATTAACATAATGCTACCAAACTAGAGGCATTACACCACCCTGTGCATACACACACACATATATATATATATATAGATAGATAGATGTAGATAGATGTAGATAGATGTAGATAGATATATATATATATCACTAACATAAGGTATAAAATACGTGAAAGGTTATATGATCAAGGGAGGGTGAAGAAATATTTATAAATCACCTTACATAATAATATATGAGAGGTGTTTATCGTTAGGTACAAGATAAGGGTGGGTGCAACCATCACGCCAGATACTGTACTTGTTATCAGTGTAAGGTAGGTGCGGGCTCCACCGTACTACCCACTCGCTGCTATAGTGCTGCTTACACTGTCCAAGCTGTGGTGCTCCACCATTACATGCCAGAAATTCTCTTCAAGTAAGCTTGGTCAGTATTTCTTCAATAGGCATATAAATATTGTTTTAAAAGTAATTAGACTTTAGATTGCAGTCACTCTAATCTTTCTTAATTAGAATTTTTTTTAAATGTATAGAGCAGTGCTTTTCAACCTGGGTGACTAGTCATCATGGAGTGACCCAGGCTAGGTCCAGGGGTGACCTGATAGGCTGGGGTGACTAATAGGGGGTGATCTGGCTGTATAAATAAGTCTGGAACAATACATATCCTATGGCAATATAGGCTTTGACTTAGTAACTCCCGTTAGAATGGTTAGATTAGGATCATAGCTTACATGCCCCCTCCCCCACCCCAAAAAAAAAAAAAAATATTATATATATATATATATATATATATATATATATATATATATATATATATATATATATATATATATATATATATATATATATATAGAAAATGCCATAGCTGAGTTTCCCTTCTCACCTCCATCCTAGTGCAATCCAACATCACGTTAACCCCACAATGGTGACCCCCGGAGTAACGCACTCACACAGGATGGATGAGAAGCGGATCACTCTTCCAGTCTTCAATCACAACATTGAAGACTGTCGTTCAGATATCTAGACGGTCCGTCCCTCGTGACGATCTTCAGGAGTGAAGTGCTTCCCCATCTGGAGTACTGTCACCCCATCTGGTCCCCGAGATATGCTAGGGACTGTCAGTTGGTTGAAAATGTTCAAAGGAGGGCCACCAAGCTGGTGCCTGCACTTCGGCATCTCAGCTACCCTGCGAGATTGGAGCGCCTGAACTTGCCTAGCTTATACTACAGACGGGCAAGGGGGGACCTAGTTGAGGTTTATAAGCATCTCAGGGGGCACTACTCAGTTGAGTGTCCTTACTTGGAGCTGGCGGACGCTCGCCCCACAAGGGGTCACAGCTCAAGATTGAAGAAGCCGCAAGTCCGGAAAACCGTGAGGGCAAACTTTTTCGGAGTGAGGGTTGTAAACTCTTGGAACAATCTACCAGAAAGTGTTGTGACGGCACCGAGTGTGAGCTCTTTCAAGAGAAGACTTGACCAACACTGGAGCGGGTTCAGGTACATTCAGGAGCCGGTGCATGCCCAGTATTTGCCAACAGTGCGTGACAGAGACGTGACCGATCGCCCGGGCGGCTAGCGAGCCGACCTTTTGGTGAAGAATATAAAGGAAAAGAGTCGTGACCGATCGCCCAAGCGGCTGACAAGCCGATCAGTGGCGAAGAGGATAAAAGTAAAGTAAAGTAAATCTCTACAGAGGCAGCTCTCATCGGCTCTACAGCTACAGACGAACAGAAATACGTCGCCCTGGTCTGTTCCCTGCCCACAGAAGTTGCCACACAAGTTGCAGAAATCATCACTAAGCCCCCAGATGACAACAAATTCGCAGATCTACGAGATGCTCTCAAGAGGCGATACCAGCGGCCTGACACCAATTTCCTGCAAGACCTATCTGGTCTCTCCGTCGGCAACTCAACGCCTGCATGCCTCTGGGACTAGATGTGGAGACTCAACTCTCGCCACACAGACAGGCTTCCTGACACTATCCTGCACCAGCTTCACACTCAAGCTCCCTGCAGAAGTTCGTCTCGTCCTCTCGGCATTGGACTACTCGACTACCTCGGCGACCTATGCAGCCACGGCAGACAGGGTATTCCACCAATACACTGCTGTGCGCCATGCTGCCGCGAACAACTCAGCGGCCACACCGTCACTTTCCTCCTGTCTTGTCAACTGGATCAACGCTCCCCAGACGAGCAACACCTCACAAGACATGAGGGACTTACTACAGTTCCTACACCGCAGGATGGACACCCTCGAGCAGCTCTGCTCCTCCAAGCCTGCAGCTGCTCCTGCCCCACGCACTGTGTCCTCCCGACCCCAACACCCCCGTCCTGCCTCGGATGCCGCCGCCAGCCCCCAGCACAGTGTACCTACCTTCTGTTGGTACCATCAACGTTTTGGTGCTAAAGCTAGATGCTGTGAGGCTCCCTGCAACTACACGAGGAAGCGACATCGACGGAGATTGGTAGACGCCATAACCTCCGACACTATCAAGCAGCACATCACACGCCTTAATTTTGACCTTGACCACTTCACTCCTGCTGCCCGTCACGACCTACTACAAACACTACGACAGGCAGCTTCGACATTCAAGACTACTGCCCCACGCCAGCCTTCCCATCGCCCTGAACACATTCATCCCGCACCTTCTTCGCCAGTCTGCCCACCGTTGCCGCTCACAGCACCACCTCGCCCACAACATTTTTGAGTACCCTCTTTTCATCCTCGGGTACCTACTGCTCCTGACGTGGCCCCCTGCTCCTGATGAGGATCCTGCAGCCGGCCCTATGAACCCAGACACTCCAACCGGCGCCCCTGAGGACTTTACACCTGCCGCGAGAGAAGCACCACATCCCTCGCCTGTTCAACCTTCTACAACCTTCCTTCTCCCACAGATTCCACGTCACTAGACAGAGTCGTCTCCCGTAGCGGCAGACTGATCCACACCCCTACCCGTTATGTCTCGCATGTAGGATACAACCTTGCCGACAACAAGTCTCCTGCAGCGCTCGGGGGGGAAGGGGAGTATTGTAGTGGATACTCTCCTCTACTACTGCCATTTGTCGCTTACCAGCCGATCCCTTGTCGAGTTTCCCAGCCAAAGCCTCCTCCTATATAAGCTTCAGCCTAGCCGTGAAGGCCTCTACTCCAGCTCCCGAACCAACAAGACCTCTCAACAAGCTCCTCATCCAACACCTCCTCTCAGCAAGCTCCTAACCATGCAGCAACTTCCCAGCACCAAACTGCACTGTACATTCAATATATTTATATACAGAAAACCACCATAAAGAGTTTCCTTTCTCCAACCCATCCCGAGTGCGAGACATCACGAAACCCCACATGTGAAGTGAGCGGCGCTGCTGATTGGCTGAGGTGAAGGCAGTAATGGGTCATTTGCCGCAAAGTGAGGCCCATCACATTTGGAACTCGCTGCTGGTTGGCTGGTAAGCGGACGGAAAGTGATCAACCAACAGTTGTAGGGGAGAGTATCCACTACAGGTGACCCACCATGATAAATGGTTGAAAAGCACTGTAGACCATTCTTTTAACCCCCTTAAGGCTTCATTAAAATTTAAATTACAGTATATCCTCTAGGTTTAAAGAATGCATTCTAACTTTTTTTTTAATAAATTTTGAAAGACAACCAGGAAAGTTTTCTTATCGGATGAAATAAGACATATAGGAGAGAGTACAACTGGTTGGTGAGGGTGCTCAGAGGAGGATCAGCTTGTGGGTCGCGAGGGCCGCCAGGCAGGAGCGGAGGTGGTGGTGTGACTTGAAGACTGGCTGTAGGTAGAAAAAGAGAGGTAGGCCACAACAAGGTCAGGTCTTGTATTGCGCAGGTAGGCGTGGCTTAATAGTTGACCTCCGTCATGTAAGGCGGTGCTGGTTGACCTAGACCACTAGGCATACACTGGGGAATTCGCGGGGTCGGCTACTCAGTGACAAACAGCGTTTGTAGGGGAGGAATCCACTGCAGTACCACTTGCAACTCTTACTTTTACTTTTATCCTCTTCACCACTGATCGGCTCGTTAGCCGCTTTGGCGGCCTCGAAAACCCCCCCAGATTGGAACCAAAAAAAGCTAGCTATTTCTTGCATACGACATGACGTAAATATAATAAGAATTGCACAATTTTTAGAAAATCACGGTTTTCCATATTTTATTACTATAGCCATGGCAAGAAAATATTTAGATTAAAAGAACATTCTGAATATACTGGTACTGGTACACAGAATACTCGCTTCTTAAGAAAACAGCAACTCTGAGAATTTATCGTCATCATTAACTTGGGCTTCTGATGTGCTGGTACAGTACTTTGCTGTGGTTCACCTTCGCTGTAGGTTTGGGAAGTTCCTATCTTGCTTAGAGTATCTGCAGGGATTTCGTACTCATGGCATGATTTTCCATTTCTTCTTAATCCTGTCCAGATTGCTAGAATGGCATTAACCATTTTTGTTTTACTGCCATACGAATTTCTCAGTTTATTTTTTACTGTGTTTAACTGACTGAATGTTCGCCAAAACCAGTCATAACGGTGTCAAAGGAAATTTTTAAATTAACATTAAATAATTCTTGCAGTTTAAAGTACATTTTTAAAAAATCAGTATGATAATAATCGGTTTTAATAATGCTAGGAATCTGCCAGGCTTCTTTACAAAATAGCAAGAAAAAAGGTAGCAGCTAGATTTAAAGTTTGCCTGCTAGATCACATGCGGAAAAATAGTTAAAATGGCACCATTGTTCCAGACCATTGGAATTTAGGCAATCTTGTTCGAAGATCTTTTAGTGCTTTGTGTTTTTGAAGATATTTATAGTTATTTTTTTATTTTAAACTATAATGTGTTTTATGTTTTAAGATGAACAATTGGTGATAATTTTATATGAATATTCCATGATCTGTAACCAGCAAGCAATGGCCCGACCAACTGACAGCCAGTGTGTGTTGGACCTTAAGAGAGAACGAGCAAAATGCAGCTTCAACAAGGAAGAAATTACGAATCTTCTGGATGGTGGAGTAGAAAAGACTGCAAATCGCCGGCAAATAGGTAAGTCGTAATGCAAATTTAACCAAAGAAAGTAAATTGGAGTAGGACAAACAGAAGCCGATAATCTAGAGAGGTTAGGTCAGAGCGGGATTAGCTTGTATGACTTATAAACGGTATTATTATCGTTTAGGTCATCCAGCGATTTTAGGATTATATGTTACCACCATCCGAGAGTGGTTAGGGGTATTATTGGTAAATTTGCACTGTCACACCGCACTCTGTTAGAAAGTAAAAAATATATTTTTCTATTGTATTTGTATGTGCTTAGACCAAATATGACCTTCATTTCTGGCTGAAATTGCCCTTTTTTTCGATTTTTTTTTCGTTGGACGTTTTCTGTAAAAAAATAATGGCTAAGCGAATAAAAAATACACCAAGAAACACTAGAAAAACTAAAACCTAACCTAACCGACTCTCGCCATATGATGGAATCACCAATTTCTTACCTTATTGGGCTGATTCTTGTTTGTCGTTGGATTCTGAGATTCTTACACAATGTCACATATGTTGGTCTTTGCAATATTTACATTCAGTCTTGCACTTAGTACACTTTACTGAGGAACACCATGCGATCGAAAAAATTCTACAGTTTTTGTTTTTTTTTCCCAAAAACTCAATCAGTATACAGTACTATTTTACTGATTCACAAGTACAGTACAGTACATTTAAGTAACATAAGAATTACTTTGCAGAGGACCTCTTCCTTTCGGACCCAGAATTTCTTGACCCAATTCGACCTGAATACATGAGCCATGAAGACCGGTATGCCAATGAATTGCGGAAAGCATGTCACATGGTTCGCAAGTTTAATGAAGATGAGAAGGTCCAGCAAATTGTTGGGCAGATGGAAGGAATAAGGTAAGAAAATTTAGGAACTCATTAATAATGATTTTTTGACCAGATGTCAACCATGGAACTCTATACAGTATTAATTTGTTTACAGGGAGATAGAAAAAAATACTTTACAGTATACTGTATTATTATTATTATTATTATTATTATTATTATTATTACAACATTAATATTTTTTTATGACTAGTATCATTTTTATTATTATTGTATATATTTTTTCTTAACCTACCCATAAATCTCTATAGAACAAACCATAAGTACTATACAGTACTCAATGAAGGCTAAGGTCTTAAGAACCAAGAAAAGCTTAAACCCATAAGGGTTGGGCTTGATATAAAGTTTACCCTTATTCACATCAACAACCCTAACTTAAAAATGATAATGTGGGAGGCAACAGTTGCCATGTTGCACAGAACTAACAAGCTATGATCATTATACAATGCATGTGTGCTCTATTATGCTTAAGCTCAATTTTAAAGCTTGATGTTAAACCACTTCACATGTGATGCCTTATATGAGGAGAAGCTCAGTTCCTGATCCCATCAGCTCAGTGGCCCCATGAATCTTGGGCCTTAAAACTAATTTTACATGGAAATTGATGGAAAACAGGAGGATACCTTGTCACTTAGCCCCAGGACATTCAGAATTAGACATTGTTTGTATTTTTATCGGTGTTAGGGTAAGGTCTGTTTGTTTCCTTGCTTTTTCACAGGTGAACAGCTTAAGATAGCAATCAGGTTAGTCTTGACCTTAAGTAGATGGATGAAATGATTCCCAGTACAGTGGTCCCTCGATTAACAAACGGTCAAATTAACGAAATTTCGGTTAACGAATTAGCTCCCATTAGGATTTTCAGTTCGATTAACGAACAAAACTTCGATTAACGAAATCCTTACGAGAAACATGCTTTGTTGTGTGCATCAGCTGATCGGCCAGTCCGCCAATACAGTAATTGGTTCTATGTTTACATTCGTTTCCAGTGGAGTAAATATCAAGAAAGTTAGTCTCTTGAATATTTTTGCATTTTTACATTAAAATTATTGGTCATTCTGAAATTTAGTTAACATATTGATAATATACAGGGCAGAAATTATTATGAAACATGAAAAAGGCATTAGAACCAATACAGTTATCTATTGTTTTTTATGTATTATTGTACAGTATACTGTACAGAACTGTATTTAGTTTATATTTATATGTTTTGTTATTTCTATTACCGGTATTCAGTACTTTGTCTGTATACTTTTTCTGAGAGTTGGAACCAATTACCCAATATCCCATTGAAATAATAGATTCAGTTAAAGAAATTTTCGGAGAACGAACGACTCTGTGGAACCAATTGTGTTCGGTAATCGAGGGACCACTGAATCAAGTTTAGCATGTCTACTGCTCACTAGGTGAATTGCAAGTTTGCAGAAGGACCTCTTGGCATGTGTCTGTTCATAAATATTTCAGGTAACTCTCGCTCTGTGTCAATGAGAAACCTACCTCCCTTTTTCCAGATGGTTTATTGCAATGAACTGCTCAATCCTAGTGTAAAGTTATTAATGTTGGCTTGATGCTGAGATCTTATTTTATGTGTTTCAAGTTTAGTTACAAACTTTAACACTTGATGGAATTAAGATGGCCATTGACTGTAATGTTAAGCAAAATTTCAATGCCCAGGGGGAACAAAGCAAGAAATTCATAGATGAATTACTATTCATAGAAAATATATGAATCTTTTATTATTATGCACCCCCTCCTTTTAGCTGGGGAGTAAAGTTAATATAGTATTTATATGATTAATGCGGTCAGTGCTGTTCTGCACAGTACAAGGGTATTAAGAAATTTCATAAGGATTCATTCATTTGTATTTTTCAGAACTCTGATGGGGTCAGGACTAGGTGTGGCACTTACAAAAGATGGAAACCCTCTGGCCTTGCATTATGTTATGTTTCTCCCTGCAATTATGGGTCACGGGACTGTTGATCAACAAGCAGAGTGGATGGGTCGTGCATGGGCTGGACAGATCTTTGGCACATATGCCCAGGTGAGAGGATTTTCCCATTATTATTTATTTGTTTATGTGTGTGTATCTACACACACACACACATACATACATACAATACAGGGATTATACATTCCTTTCCACACAAGTAAAAATGTCCCCCCCCCCATCAGCAAATGTTATTCGTAGTAATTTTGAGAACCTAATCCTCACGAATTTTAAGTGTGTGTATATATATATATATATATATATATATATATATATATATATATATATATATATATATATATATATATATATATATATATATATATATATATATATATATATATATATATATATATATATATATATATATATATATATATATATATATATATATATATATATATATATATATATATATATATATATATATATATATATATATATATATATATATATATATATATATATATATATATATATATATATATATATATATATATATATATATATATATATATATATATATATATATATATATATATATATATATATATATATATATATATATATATATATATATATATATATATATATACACACACACACACACAGTGGTCCCTCGGTTAACGAAATTTCGGTTAACGAATTACCTTCCATAAGAATATCCAATTCGGGTAACGAACAAAAATTCGGTTAACGAAATTCTTACGAAAATGTTTCAACGTGCTTTGGCTTGCTCACCAACTGGAATATTAGTCCGCCAATTTGAATGTAAACATGCAATAGTGTGCACTAGACTAAAATTTTAGTATTCATTTTGTACATTATTTTGATTACATGTACAGTACAGCTTTGCCCTTAGGACAGAGTATGCACGTAAATGAGTTTCAATAAATGAATAAATTTACATATATCGAGCCAAAATAATAGTTGAAAAACTTTATGTAGACAGAGCTTAGATGGCTAAATTTTAGAATGACCAATAATTTTAATATAAAAAATGCACAAAAATATTAAAGAGCACAATTTTCTTGATATTTACTCCACTGGAAACGAATGTAAACATCGAACAGATTACTGAATTGGCAGACTAGCCCATCAGCTGATGCTCACAACAAAACGTGATGTTCGTAAGGATTTCGTTAATCGAATTTTTGTTCGTTACCGAATTGAAGGTAATTCGCTAACCGAAATTTCGTTAACCGAGGGACCACTGTGTGTGTGTGTGTTTGTTCACTTCCAAGATTTAAGAGTGCTCATGAATTGTAAGTAATGTATATACATACTGTACTTTTTATTGCAGACAGAGTTGGGTCATGGAACATTCCTTCGAGGTCTTGAGACAACTGCCACATATGATCCAGATACTCAAGAATTTGTTTTGCATTCTCCAACCATCACAGCAACCAAATGGTGGCCTGGAGGATGTAGGTCTATGAGTTATGAAGTATGCACATTTTTAGAAGATTTATATTAGTTAATGTGCCTAATGCAGTTTATAGATTGAAAAACGATATTGCAGTACAGTACCATTATGGGTATATAGATGAAAAATGTGTAATAGTTCAAAGTACTGTATGCCTTTTTCTAGGCTTCTTGCTGAACATTTTCTCTTGGTTAAAAAGAAAGTCATGATTTTTGTAAAATTATTTAAGTGAGGCTGATGACTGGAATTAGTGTTATCATAACCATTGTTACTGAACAGATTTCATTCGGACATATTTTTCTCAAACAGACAACTTGAAACAATTTAAAATATTTGGTCTTTTCCATCAGTGGGCAAGACTGTGAATTATGCTGTCGTCATGGCTCAATTGTACACTAAGGGTACTTGCCATGGAATCCACCCATTTATTGTCCAACTTAGGGATGAAGAAACTCATCAGAGCATGCCAGGTGAGTCTTAACAGTGAACATTCTGTGAAAAGTAACATAATTTGTTAGGCAGTATCAAGGTCAATAGAGATATTTTTTGTCTGTCTTCAGTACTTCTTACTTTGTAACTGCTTTATTGGTGTGTTTTGTGTTTCTAGTTTGTGTTTATACAGTTAACCCTTAATTTTCATGGAGGTTACATTCTTAAAGAACACTTCGGATGTGGAATCTGTGAAACTGAAAGTTAACAGCTTACAGGAAAATTTGGGATGCATTATGGGCCCTGAATTTCAACCATTAGCCCACTACATTTAATACTGAAAAATTCTAACTACCATTCTATATTATACAGTATTAGGGATTTGAAAGTTTTGGATTATGTGCCTCACATAAAATATTTCGGAATGAGAATGAAAGACTCCTAAAAACATGGTGTAGCTGCATGTGACCACTGATCTTGTAAATACATGTACAGGTAAACCTCGAGATACTATATTCCCTGTCAACTAATACAGTATTTATCATACAACTTTGCATTGCTACCTACTATTCTTCAGCCTTTTGTAAACCCTAATTTTATGTACTAAAACTTTTAGGTGTCACAGTTGGAGAGATTGGTCCAAGGCTTGGATTGAATACAAATGATAATGGGTTCCTGAGGTTTGACCACTGCCGAATTCCTCGAACAAACTTACTCATGAAACATTCAAAAGTTTTGGAAGTGAGTTTCAAATCTTTATATTAACCCTCTGGTAGTCTTGACCATGGTCGTAAATCTCATCCCCTCGCATCTTTCAACGCAGGAATGGTTTTCCATTTTAACCCCTACACCCTGGGCTAGGGTGCCGCTGGCCATATCCCTCATTCGGGTAAATCGAGAAAAATAAACTTTTCCAAAAATTATTTTTAACCTTTTTAAATGATAAAACAATCAAAAAAGTAAAAAAAAAAAAACTATATATTGACCCTCTAGAAACTTCCCTGGGGCCACAGTGGCGAGGGAGATAAAGGGAGAGTGTTGTTTTGATGGCTAGTGCTCGTGGTCACTACGCACTTGCCAGCCATTTTCTGCTTGCCTTTGTGTCCAGGATAGCCAATAATGCATATATACTTGATTAAAATAGTGTTACTGAAGCCCTGTATTTTTGTTAGTTTATGGTTTATGTCTTGACAATGTAGAACATAAGATAATATTCCTTGGAATGTTAACAAAAAATTTAATTTTTACTCAGGATGGAACTTATGTGAAGCCTGCTAATGATAAACTTGCTTATGGCACAATGGTATTTGTGAGGGTTGCTATCTGCTTTGACTCTTATCGGCAACTACAGCGAGCAGTGACCATAGCAACCCGCTACTCTGCTGTTCGTCATCAGTCTGAATTAGTCCCCGGGTAAGATTTGGTATGAGTATTTTTTATGTACTTGGCCTACAAAGTAAGAACACATGGTGTATTCTTGTTAGTGACTGGTTCTGTGTTGAAGATAGTAATGGAGATTAGACCAAGGATGTTGATGACCAGTCTTTTTGCTAAATTCCAGACTGTTGGCTGAGTGAATAATAATTACTAAAGATGAAAAGTTATTTCTCCACATTGACCATGTGACTAATTTTCAGGTTAGGCTTTTCTAGTACACCTTGGAACATTTATGAGTCAATCCAGGGCATCATATCACTCATAGATTGAGATAACATAAGTAAATGTCAACAGTTTCATGGAAGTTAAATGATTTTAGAGACTATAAATCTTAATACCCTCTTGTTCTTTTTTTAATATACTGTATCATAATGGGAACTCAACTTCATTAAACCAAAGGATATACAGATGACAAAGTGAAATAAAATGACAATTTATTTACAAAAATAAGTTTATACATGTATTAACATTAGAAAGAAATATTTTTTTAATTCAAAATTACACTAGCTTCACTAGATGTTTTAAAATACAAAATAAAGCTGAATTTATGATAATAATTGGTGGTGTAAATATAAAGGATACAATTTAGCTAACAAACTGTAAGGAAATATCACTAGTGCTCAGTATGGTGTCATAGAACTCAAGGTTAATAATAACTATAGATTAATAACAATGCCAGGGTAAACAATGTACAAGTATCATAAGTTCACTAGTGCTCAAACATGGGTCATGTAACTCATGATTCACAATAATTCTTCGAGAGACAATAATATTAATAGAACAAGCAAAGGTGGAGAGGAGTAGGACTCTCACAAGAACACAAAGTAAAGTTTCTACAAAATGACAAATCAGGTCACTGAGGCAAACACGCCAAATAACAAAGATGACCAGAAACTTCACTTACTTATGTTTGACTGAACTGACAGCACCTCTTGCAGAGACAGACAATAATAATAAAACCACCCCCTGAGGTTGAGTCAGGGTAGCTTTTCACAAAAGCCACCTTCCAGAGAACACAGCCAATGCTGCTTGTGTTGTATCCATGAGAGTACTATTCCCTCCAGGAACTAAGCACTTCTATTTATACCCAATCTGCATAAAATGTGGCAAGCTGAAGTCATCTATTTTTGGGGATCTCATGCAGATCAGGAACCATTGCTTATTTCACCTTATGACTAAATGGAGTGATTAAGTTAGATTATAACAGAAACCAACCAGTCCCAGAAACTAACAGACCCAGGGTATAATTGGTTTTGTTAAGTTTGGGTTGGTTCTTCTTGTCATTATTTTAATTACAGTAGTACCCCAATTTACGCGGTCAATTGAACCCACAGGGTACCGCGTAAAGTGACCAACAGAACATATGGGATTAATTCCAATAGAGACTGGCCCGACCCCCAAACTCCACTTTTTGACGACACAACTATGTTGTAGTAAAAATATTATCTTAACTTTATGATGGTATGCACACACAATTAATATAGAAGAGTTTAGGCTAGGAAAAAATGAAGGTTAAGTTAGGAAAAATAAAGGTTAGGTTAGGAAAAATAAAGGTTGGGTGTAACACTTACGTTAGTAGAAGAGATGGATCGGCATAGGGGGATGGAGGCTGGTTCCGAGGCAGATTACTGGCCCTCAGGTGAATCACCATTACTAGGTGAATCACTATCAGTCATAGTTGTCAGGGCCTCCCTGACAAATCCCTCAAAGTCACTTTCACTGGCTCTGGCTGGCTGTGGTGGGTTGCGGGCGAAGAACTCGGTAATGCTTTTTTGACAGCTAGTGTTGATGTTGTCTTAATACACCTTGATGTACGGCTCCATAGTCTGCACCTGCCGGGTATGGAAGACTTCATAGCGGTCATCGTCAGGGTCGTTGGAAAGGAAGAGCTTTAATTTCTCTGCACACTCGATGGCACCCTTAATATTACTATGCGTTAATTTGTGTTCTTCTGGGATTGACGCACCACTTTCCTCTTCACTGACGTTATCATCTTCCAACATCTCGTCGGCAGTCATTTCAGGATCTCTGATCACCTCCAGGATGTCTTCGTTGGTGGTCTTGGAGAAGCCTTCAGCTGTAATACTGTGCGCAGCTTCTCTTGCAAGGTCCAATGCCACTGTCACAGACTGAACCTCACCAGTCACAGGTTGACTGCCTCTCACCTGGTATACCATGCAACACATGCCTCCATGCGTGACGAATCGTAGCTATAGACAGCTGATCCCATGCCTCCACCAAGAAGTCTACAGCTTGTTTGACGTTAAATTTTTTCCAAAACTGTTTGACGAGAACTTCTTGAGTCACCACCTCTTGTTCCTTGTCCTCGTCGCTTTTGCTCTCGCTATCGGTGTCACCCAGCTTACCCAACTCATCCTTGGTGTTGGTACAGTCGTTCAGGAGCTTGAATTTCTTTGCCGAGTATGCAGCTTTCACATTGCAGATCAACTCCTGGTCCATGGGCTGGATTAATGACGTAGTGTTGGGAGGAAGGAAGACCACTTTTACGTTGGGGTGACGATCCATAAGTAGGGGCGAGTGTCCTGGTGCGTTGTCAAGGAGCAACAAAATCTTGAATGGAACATTTTGTTGCTCGCAGAATTTCTTCACGTCGGGAATGAAACGGTCATCAAACCAGGAGAGTGACAGAGCAGAGAACATCCACGCCTTGCGTGCGGTCAGCCAGTGGACATTAATCTTGCGCATGTCCACGTTCTTGTAGGCTTGCGGGCTGTGTGAATCACCGATAACTTGGGTTTACTAGTACCGGAGGCATTGGTGGCAAAGAGGACGGTGATGCGCTCCTTCTGCAACTTCCGACCCCGAATCTTGCTGGCAGACTGGACAATAAAAGTCTTGGTAAGCAGCTTTTTCCAAAATAGGCCGGATTCGTCCATGTTGAACACCTAGTCGTCAGTGTACTGCCCTTCCTCCATAACCTCACGTAAGAACGGAGGAAAATCTCTAGCCACCACACGGTCAGCACTCGCTTCTTCACCACCAATGTTGATGTTGGTGATATTGTTCCTCTTCTTAAACCTATGCAGCCAACCAGAGGAAGCATTGAAGGGTTTGGGCTCTGCAATTCCCATCTTACATGACACTGCTGCGTACAGTTCACATGCGTACTCTTGAACGGATCGCGTGTCCACCGCCATGTTGCGTCGCGCCTGACGAATCAAGTAACTCGCCAGCAAATTTTCCACCTTTAGCAGCACCTTGTTCTGGCAATACTTGATCATTGAAGCACCTGCAGACTTTGTGATTCTCATGTGCTCTTTGATCTTGGCTGCATCCTTCTTAATAGTACGAATCGTAGATTCGTTGACTTCATGCTGGCGCGCGAGATCAGCTTGACGTGTTCCTTTCTCCAAATCTTGAATTATCTGGTATTTCACTTCGTAGCTTAGGGAACGTCGTATCTTCTTTGGCTTAGGGCGGCTGGATCCAGGTAAGGAAAGGTTTTTCTCTGGTGGCGGTGGTCCGGCGGAAGCCATTTCACAGAACAATGGATGCACGTATACACGGTGTGGCCTGGAGGGATGAAACTGCCGCGGTTAGGTCAAGCGTCGTCTTTCCTCCCTCCCTCCCGCGGGTGGACACGTCATATTACTTTAAACCAATCACAGCTAGCAGCGGAGGGAGGTAAGGATGCATGGCCAATCACAGTCCGATACGTCATATGACGTCACTGATAACGCAACATAGACATGCACTGCGCAACCTTACCGCGCGGCTTGCCCAGGCGGGAGCAGGCGGGAGGGTCGAATTTAAAAATAGCGTCGAGCCAGACACTCTGCGCGTATATGGGTAGATGCACCGCGGAAAGTGAAAGTTCGGTTCTGGCAAGGCGCCGCGTAAATGAGAAATCGCGGAAAGTGAAACCTCGTAAAGCGGGGTAATACTGTATTATTATTTATATTATTTCAGTATTATTATTATTAAACAGGATGGCATTCAGCAGTTAGGCATTTACTCCCAACCCTCTAGCAGTAGGGTGGTAGTGCAGGGGCTTATTTCACCATTGCCAAGTATATCTCATAGTTTACTCATAATGTTATTGAGTGTACAAGGTGAGATCTCAGACATCTCATCCAGATGAGAATTAAACCATGATCATTCACTTTCAAGGAATCCATAGTCATACTCTTAATAGCTTCTTTTTTTTTAGACAAACTATTTTGCCTGGATAGTTACACTGTCTTACACAGGAAGAGATTTCCTGATGTACATGATTACGAATAATATGAAATTTGGCTAAAAGTTTAACCAAAATTTGTTCTTCATCCTCTCATTCATTTCTTTCCTTCAGAGCTCCAGAACCGCAGATCCTCGATTATCAGACTCAACAGTATAAGTTGTTACCACAGATAGCCACTATATTCGGCATTCATTTTGCAACTAAAGATGTTTGGGACACCTACAATGAAGTGACAGGAAATATCCAAGTAGGCAATCTAGATCTTCTGCCTGAGGTAAGTTGTGTATTGCTCTCATGTACAGTGTTCAGTAAGGTTGTTTTGTGTAATACTGTACTGTGAAATTATTTAACTATTTTTTTTTCACATCCACAACCCCATTTCTCATACAGCAATAGTTAGCTGGGAATTATATTAATGGTCCACATAAACTGTTACTAGAGGAAGTGATAGCTTTTGAGATGCTAGAATCAGCTTTAAAGATGCTAGAATCACTAACTTAATAACAGTCATTCCCATCACGACTTTCAAGCTGTGGATACATATGTCCTACAAAGGAAAGACATCTTGTTATTTCTCAAAAAAATTTGTGCGGTGTTTCACTGCACATGGCCATGTGCTCTGTGTAAGAAAGGTGATGGGATCAACTCAGTATTGTGCAATGAGTGTGGAAGGTTGGTATACAAGAGGAATAAATGGAATAAATGGCAGACTGCAGGATGTTGCTGACTTTAAGTGTTCTGTGTGTGCAGGTAATCATGTAGCATAAGCAAGGCTGGAAAAACTCAAACACTAGGGATATATCCCTGGACTGTGTTGATGAGTTCTGCTGCCTGGGTGACATGATCAGTGCTGGAGGTGGTGCTGAAGTTAACTCAGTTGCAAGAGTCAGAAATGGATGGAGGGAGTTTAGGGAGTTCCTGCTTTTTTGACAGGAAGAGGACCTTCCCTCTGCATGAAAGAAAAAATGTATATAATTGGCATAAGAAGTGTAATGTTGTATGGCAGTGAAACGTGGGCTATTAAAGAGAATAACATATGCAGGCTTGAGCAGGCTGAAATGAGAATGGTAAGATCTACTGTATTTGTAATGCGACACTGAAAGATAGGAAACCCTGTTCAGACCTAAGAGGGTGGCTGAGTATTGAAAGTATTGGGAAACTTTTGCACACAGGTCGTACGAGATATTTTGGGCATGTGGATAATATGGAGGAGACTAATTGGGTGAAGAGATGCATCAGTTTAAATGTAAAGGGGTGTGGGGGGGAGAAGAGCCAGGGGTAAGCCAAGAATGACATGGTGAGAGGTTGTAAGAAATGACATCAGAGTTAAGACCCTGACGAGAGAGACTGCAAGAGACCATGCAGTGTGGACAGCTACCTGCCTGCCGATGCAAGTGTGGAAAATGTCCATAAAATGTTATTCATGATGGTGTTTGATTAATAGAGTGTTTACATAAAAACACAAGAATGGAGGAAACTGCAGCGGGCCTATTGGCCCATACTGGGCACTCCCGTTTACACCCAACCCCTAACGTTCATACGAGTATATCCATCCAACCTATTTTTGAAGCTATCCAGAGTATTCGAGTCAACCCCTACACCCTGGGTGATGTTCCAGAACGAGCGCCTTTTCCCGCCGCTGTTTGAATGCCCAACTTGGGTTAACAGGTATCAGCATGACTATTTTTCTTTCCATTCTGTAGTGCAGTGACCAGAACTGAACTGCATAATCCAAGTGAAGTCTCACAAGCACAAGATTTAGTTTAGGATGACCCCGCTAGTCTTGTAACTAACGCTCTTTTCTATGAACCCAAATACTTTGTTAGCCTTGTTTCAAGCAAATCCACATTGTTGACATTGTTTAAGATTCCTACTTATCATTATTACTAAATCTTTCTCACAGTCGAATTTCTCGAAAACAACGTTGTTCATCGGATATCTGGTTTCTCTGTTTACATTTCTTAGAACTGTTTATCTTTCAGCTTCATGCCTTGTCTTGTGGCCTCAAGGCTCTGAGCTCTGGTGATGCTTCATCAGGAATAGAAACTTGCCGCCTTGCCTGTGGAGGACATGGCTACTTATCATCTTCAAATTTGCCTAGAATCTACACCACCACCACTGCTGCCATCACATATGAGGGAGAGAACACAGTCATGTGGCTACAAGTGGCTCGGTAAGAAACTGTTAGAATATACACCAAGGTTTACTGAAGTACTGTATAAATGTATCTGTTATGCTTAACTAGAATACTGTAAATAAATATTTATGTGTTCTCACACCTTTAGGTATCTCATTAAATCATATCGTGAAGCTCGCCAAGGTCTAGCTTTACACCACTCTGTTTCCTACCTCTCGGCCCAGCCTGCATCTACACACACCACCTCACAACTTTCTAATGCAGGTATTGTATCTGTTGTGTTGTACATTGGTTTCTGCTCAAATTTTTCTTATATTTAAATTATTACCAATACCTGTATTGCTTGGAGCCATAAATATATCTAATCCATGTAGGCCTATTTATGCTTTTTACTGTATAGTACCTTGGCCAGTCATGAGTTGATGTATGTCAAATAATGGTATTTTTTTCAGGTTTGAAATTAGGAATGTATCTAATTTGGAGAAAGCTAGACTCAAGCTATCTACCAAATGCCCTCTAGTTTGGCAGTTTTCAGAACACAACACCACTTAATAGGAGATTTTTATGTCGTTATACTCTATATACTGACCACCATCTCCATCCCCCTGTACTGCCCCCTCCCCCCCCCCTCCCTTTTTTTAAAGTAAAATGGTGAGAATAAGTAGAAAAGAGAGATGGAGAAATTAATTTGAACTTGAATAGATATAAAATTGAGGAAGAGAGATGTTTTAATTATCTAGACGTGGTTGTGTTAAGAAATGGTCTAGTGGGTGCTAAATAGAATCAAAGAGCTAAGGAAAAGGAGTTAATAGGTAGATTGAGAAATGTATGAAGAGAGAGAACTATGTCAAAGGGACAAGAATAGAGAAGTAAAGGGGAATAATTGAGTCAGTATTACTATAAGGAAGTGAAACATGAACTGTGGCTGCAAGAGGAGGAAGTAAGTTAAAAAGGACAGAGATGATGTGCTTGAGAGCAGCCTGTAGAGTGAAAGGGGTGCTTAAAATACAAAAGACAAATAAGATATGGAAAGAAGAGAATAATTGAACAGATAATCACTTTGGGTTTACAAAATGGCTATGGCCTTACTGAAAGATTTGGGAATGAAAGCTTGGTAAATTTGAGTATTTTATTTTGAAGTAGATGGCTGGAGAGAGAAAGAAAAGGTCAATAAAAAGGTGAAGGGGTAGGGAAACTAAAATACTGGATAGCAGGGGGAGGAAAAGACATCCACAAAACACTGACTCTATACAGAGATAGTGAAGAAAATAGATTAAGTGAGATAATAGTGACTAGTAACGGCGTTCGTAAGCTTAATAAGTCGCCAGGTCTCGATGAGATATTTGCCAGAGTATTAAAGGAATGTATGAAAGAGCTTAGTATGCCCTTAACAAAGTTGTTTAACATGTCCTTAAAAACGGGTGAAGTACCAGAATCCTGGAGGATAGCGAATGTAAAACCGATTTTCAAGAAGGGAGATAGATCACTATCCTTTAACTATTATCCAATCAGCTTAACATCATTTGCAGGCAAATTACTGGAAGCAGTAATTTCAAACTCTATTCGAAATCACCTGGAGAAGCACAAGTTGATCAATGATTCCCAACATGGCTTCACAAGCTGGCGTTCATGTCTAACTAATCTATTCACATTCTTTTCAGCTGTTTTCGAATCAGTGGACGAGGGGCACAATTATGATGTGGTATATCTTGACTTTAGTAAAACCTTTGACAGAGTCCCCCACAAATGACTAATAAGAAAAGTGGAGGCTCATGGCATTGGAGGAGATATTCTAAAATGGATTAGGGCGTGGTTACAGGACAAAAAACCGAGTGAGCATTAACGGCACTAAATCCGATTGGAGTAACGTCACTAGTGGAGTACCCCAAGGCTCAGTACTTGGACCATTATTATTTATTATATACATAAACGACATAGATATCGGCGTAGACAGCAACAAAAATAAATTTGCTGATGACACTAAAATAGGGTTTGTAATTTAATCTGACGAGGACTCCGCAGAACTACAGGAAGATCTAAACAAATTTTTTGAACGGTTTGAAAAATGGCAGATGAAATTAAATTTGGACAGATGTATAATACTTAGTCTAGGAGATGTAAACAGAGAAACCAGATATCAGATGAACAACAATGTTATAGAGAAATCCGAATGTGAGAAAGATTTAGGAGTAATGATAAGTAGGAATCTTAAGCCAAGTAAACAATGTGTATTTACTCGAAACAAGGCTAATAAAATACTTGGGTTCATACAAAGGAGTGTTAGTTACAAGACTAGAGAGGTCATCCTGAACTATATCTTGCGCTTGTGAGACCTCACTTGAATTACACAGTTCAATTCTGGTCACCGTATTACAGAATGGATATAGAATCCCAAGAAAGAATTCAGAGGAGAATGACAAGACTAATCCCGGGCATTAGGAACCTCAAGTACAGAGACAGGTTAAAGCATCTTAATTTGCACTCCCTGAGAGACGTAGAGTGAGAGGCGATATGATAGAGGTGTATAAATGGAAGTCAGGGCTAAACAAAGGGGACATTACAAAGGAACTCAAACTATCCAACCAGGAGCGAACTCCTAACAATGGTTTTAAATTAGACAAATTTATATTTAGGGCAAAATAGGTAAACTTTGGTTTGGAAATAGAGTAGTGGATGAATGGAACAAGTTTCCAAACATCATCATTAAGTCAAATATGCTGGATAGCTTCAAACATATGTTGGATGGATATATGAACAATAGGGGTTGGGTGTAAATGGGACTGCCTTGTATGGGCCAATAGGCCCGCTGCAGTTTCCTCCATTCTTGTGTTCTTATATTCTTATGATGTGTACTGACTGGGCAGGCCTATTGCTAAAAGGTGTCTTGTTTTTAAATGGCAGCTTTCCAGGCCTCCCTAGCTGTATAATAATGAGAGCCACCTGGCTATAGCCTCCACGAGATAATAAGACTTCAATATCAGTATTCCTCTTATAATTGGAGAGTATATTGTAGAGTGTCTTGTAGGAATGGACATGCTGTTGAAGGGTAATACCTGATTAAATATTGTAACTGCATTAAACCTGATGGAAATCTTGGGAATGTGTTGTCAGGGAATGCCATTTCAGAACACATCTGTTTCAGCATTTGGAGAGAATGTATGACAGTGAATGATGGGAGAATCTACATTGCTCTTTACTCTGACCACTGCTACTTGCACGAAAGTGAAAACTGTTTAATATCACATCCTTGTATATTTTCTGTCTCCTGATATTCCATTCCCTTCCCTATTTCAACTGTTGACACTATTAAGAAATCTCCTTTTGGCAGGTTTGGTGGAAGCCTACAAGGCAACAGTGTCATCCATGGTCTCTGAGACAGCTGCCAGGCTCCAGGAGTATTGTGATATGGGGCGACCCTTTGAACATGCATGGAATAGTAGTTCTGTTCTTTTGGTTAAATGTGCTCAGGTAACATAAATTATAATATAAGTTAATATCACTTTCTGTACTCTGCATGTGGTTTAAGGATATGATAAAGTGTGTGGGGAATATTTCTTCTTGATATTTCTTACTTCTTTATTCCAAAAATTGGAAGAGGAAAAAAGAAAAATAGTGTAGTAGAAAAGATAAATAATACTATTGGTTTAATTATCGGTTAAAATCGCTTTCCATTTTGATCAATCTTCTAATTGTTTTTGAGGCTCAGTACAACTATTCCTTCCCATTTAGTTAAAGGTTTAATGTGATTAATAGATGAAAACATACTCAAAGTTAAATGTTCTTTCATAACAGGCACACATCCGATACTTTACATGTGAAAAATACGTGGTGGGTGTAGAAAATCCAGGACTGAGTGAAGGAGTGCAGAATGTGTTGCGTCAATTGTGCCGTCTCTACCTCATCTATCATATTACCCTCAACCAAGGAGATTTTCTCAGGGTTGGTACAGTTGTAATATTGTTGTTTAACTGTAACATTTTATTGGTGAATAATAATGAGAGTGCTAGTGAGGATGTTAAGCTTCAAACAAATAAATGTCTACAGGCTGCTGGCACAGAAATTACCATTTAAAAATTTACATCACTAATGATCTTTAATTGCCAATTCACTTATATAGTAAAGTAATTTATTTATCATCTGTGTGTGCTGTATTATACATAATGGTAACATGCACCTTATCCCCTGTCATGGCAACCTCTAGTTGTCGTGGCCATCAGATAGATAGGTAGTGGAGCTATGATTTTACACAGTACATTACAGTACAGTGGTCCCTCGGTTAACGGGTTCGATTAACGAAATTTCGGTTAATGAATTAGCTCCCATAAGGATCTTCAATTTGGTTAATGAACAAAACTTCGATTAACGAAATCCTTATGACAAACACGTTTTGTTGTGAGCATCAGCTGATCAGCTGATAGGCTAGTTTGCCAATACAGTAATCTGTTCTGTGTTTACATTCATTTCCAGTGGAGTAAATATAAGGTTGTGTTCTTGAATATTTTTATATTTTTTATATTAAAATTATTGGTCATTCTAAAATTTAGCCATCCAAGCTCGATCTACATAAAGTTTTTCAACTAATATTTTTGGCTCGATATATGTAAATTTATTCATTTATTGAAACTAATGCTGTACTGTATATGTAATCAAAATAATGTACAAAATTATTACTAAAATTTTTGTCTAGTGCAAACTGTAGCATGTTTACATTCAAATTAATCAGTATCTTATAAGAATTCCAGCAGTGTAAATTATATTCTCCCCTGTCACTTCTATGACATTTTATAAGCAAAAAAACAAATACTAAATCTAAAGGACATAAATAAACAAATAAATACTAAACTAGACCTTCGCACCAACTATCAAACATGTCACTGTCACCTCCCCTTCCCCCCCCCCCTCCCTCCTCCCAGCCAGGGTTTGGTGGTTATTCAGTAGGCTTTAAGTTTTTTTCTTATAGAATATCACAGACTAAAGTTAGGAGAATATAATTTGCATTACTGGAATCCTTGCAAGACAGTAAATAATTTGAATATAAATGTCATATATTTTGCACAAGATATAAAAATTAATCACCTATATCACATTAAGTAGTGATTTAAGAGTTCTAGTGTATATGTACGTTTATATATAGTGATTTAAGGGCGATTTAGGGGAATTTTAGGAGTGTTTCTGACTTTATGCATTTTTTGGCTTTACTTTGTATGTACTTTTCTGTGAGCTGGAACCAATTACCCAATATCCCATTGAAATAATGGATTTGGTTAATGAATGACTGTGGAACGAATTGTGTTCGTTAACCGAGGGACCACTGTACAGTACTATAATGATAATTACCATATATATGATATTAACATTATGTATTATAGATATGTTGGTAATTGTTGTGCAAAAATCACTGGTTTAATGTTTATGAAGAATATTGTGTCATCTCTGAAGAAACACGTAATCATATACAGTAGAACATCGATTTAAAACGATTCAATTTAAGATTATTGATTTAAAGCGACACCCACAATTAAGGACAATGTTTTAATTTAAAGCGAATCTTTCCTATTTTGCGTGAGTCAATCTGGCGCATCATATTTTAAAATTCGCGCCTAGTGTTTCTCTGGGCACGCTACACTGTCCTAAGGGCAAAGCTGTACTGTACATGTACTCAAAATAATGTACTAAGTTTTTTGTCTAGTGCAAACTATAGCATGTTTATATTCAAATTAATCACTATCTTATAAGAATTCCAGCAGTGTAAATTATATTCTCCCTGGTCACTTCTGTGACATTTTATAAACAAAAACTCAAGCTTAAGGACATAAATAAACAAATAAATACTTCACTAGAAGTTCGGCCCCAACTGTCAAATGTGTCCCCCCCCCCCTTCCCTCTTCCCAGCCAGGGCTTGGTGGTTATAGGCTTACAGTTTTTATCTTATATAATATCACAGACTAAAGTTAGGAGAATATAATTTGCATTGCTAGAATCCTTGCAAGACAGCGAATAATTTGAATATAAACGTCATATATTTTGCACTAGAGATAAAAGTTTTAGTCCTTTGTAATAAAATTAATTAAAACGTGTCAGTTCAGTGACATTGTATAAAAGAAAACTTAAAGTTGCTCTTAAGGACAGATAAATAAATAAGCACTAGACCTTGGCATCAACTGTCAAACATATCAACCCCCCTATCTTCACATCAGCTGATCGCTAGTAACCAGACCATTTCACATCCCATAATTTTAGCCTTGTTGATTTATGAGTGTTTGTTTTAACACAATACTACAAAAAACAATGTTTTGTTTATTCTAGGAGATGGGCTGAGGTGCATCTGGGTAGACTCTCAGTCTTTTTAGTAATTTGTGTTTCTCTCAAGTACCAAACTAAATTATTCCATTGAAACAACACTTTGATTTAGTGCGAATACGGTTTAAAGCGAACTCTCTTGGAACGTATCTCGTGTTATATCGATGTTCTACTGTACTCTATCACCTGTACTTGTCAAGATTTTATCCTTGTGGGATATTTTGATATGGTTTGTGTATTTTACCATCAGAGTGGTGCCCTAACAGGCTACAATATGAGTATTCTGGAAGGGGAGATGTGCCGTCTGCTGGCTGCCTTGCGTCCTGATGCAGTGTCACTCGTGGATTCTTTTGATGTGCATGATCGCATTTTGGACTCGACTCTAGGTTGTTGGGATGGAAACGTGTATCAGAGGTAATCCAGGATTTCAGTTTCTGTCTATAATATTTGACTTATTTAAACATCAGAGGTGGACGGTAACGAAGTAAATTTACTTGATTACCATTCACCTCTGTATGTATGTATGTAAGTGTGTGTTTGAGGAAGTACAGTATTTTCTTAATTTAACAAATTAATTCAAGCCCCCCTTTCTGTTAAATTGAAATTTCCGTTATTTTCACTCAATTTAGTAAACTACAGGGGGTCCCTGGGTTACAAATGGTTTCCATTCGTGAGTGCATTTGTAAGTCTGATTTGTACGTAAGTCAGAGCACATGCTATGTGCATACCGTACTTACAAAACAATGTTTAAAATCACACTATATCATAACCTAAGTCCTTATATGCATCTAAAATCACTTAATTTAAGACAAAAGAAGAAACAGAATGACAAAATACAGTAACTGAAAGTAAAAATTAATGTTCGTTTGTATTGGCGGGCATTCGTAAGCCGGGGACCTCCTGAAGTTCAGTCGAGCATGAGTCCGTTAAATTTCCACTAAATCAAATTTCTGTTATTTTTGCTCAATTTAGCAAACTAGTTCACTAAATCGAGCGTGTTTCCGTTTAATTCTGTGCCAAATGCACTGCTTGGCGCATGGTGTTTGTTTCCACCTGGGTAACGGAAAAATGTTCTTGTTATTTCCAGTAAATTGAACAAGTTGACTATATCAGTCACCTGACAGTGATAGTGCAGAGAAGACCCGGAGTATTTTATATTTACCTGGCTTTATTATTGTCCACTTCTATTTGATATTATAAATTCAACATTGATGATACTATTTTTTAGATCATTGACATTAGGGTTTCTCTTTGGTAATTACTAGATAAAGATATTCTGCAAATGCAGTACCAAGGTTTTATAGATGTATTGAGCAAATGAGAAGCAAAATAGTAGTACAGCATGTACTTACAATTTGTGGATTTTTAATTCACGGCCTTCGATTATTTGCGGATGACACCTTGGATGTACCCAAGAATGTCTGTGGGTACTTTTAAAGTTGGCGCCATTTTCGCAGCCTGGACAAGGAGCATTCGAGTATTGTGGCATCCCGCAAGATGTCTGTTGTCCTGGGAGGTTGGCCCTCGTGTTCACCCCGCCTCGGTCCTGAATAAACGCTTGACTCTCGTGCGTGTGGTACTCTGCTCTCTTAACAACTGTGCTCCTCGTGCTTGTGATGGCTCACGAACGCCCTCAACCACCTTCATCCAGCCATGGGAAGGTGCCCAAACAAGTGAAGAGCGAAAAGGTTCATGACCCTCATGGAGAAGATACAACTGCTGGACAAAGCTTTGCCATGTAAGGCTGGGAGTATGGCATCAATGAGTCAACTGTCCGCTACATCAAGAAGAAAGAGAGGGAGATTCATAACGTTGTTGCCCTAAGTTCCCCCTCTTCTGCCAAGGTAGCCTCTAGTGTGAGGGATACAGCTATGGTGAAGATGGAGAAAGCCTTGAACATCTCTACGGAGGACTTTAACCACTGCCATATCCCTCTCTGCCAGAAGTTTAACCGTGACAAAGCCGAGGTCCTGTATGACCGATTCCATGCTGAGGAAGGTGGTGAAGGTGAAGCGAGTGGTGAAGGTGGTGTTAGTGCTGGTGGTGAAGGTGATACCTCAAAGAAAGGTTTTAATATTAATAAAGGATGGTTTGAGAACTTCAAGAAGTTCTACAACCTGCACAACTTGAGGATCACTGGTGAATCAGCCTCGGCGGATGATGTAGGAGCGAGGGAGTATCCTGCGATCTATGCTGAGATTATCCAGAAGGGCTACAAGCCGGAACAGGTTTTTAATGCTGATGAAACTGGCTTTTGGTGGAAGAAGATGCCAGCCAGGGCATTCATTTCCAGGGAGGAAAGGAGTGCACCAGGCTTCAAGATGGCCAAAGATTGTGTATCTCTCCTGCTTGTGGCAACGCTACAAGACACATGATCAAGCCCATGCTGCTGTACCGTGCCAAGCGTCTGCACCTTCTCCTAGTCTTCTACTGCCACAGCAAGAAAGCCTGGATGACGGCAATGTTGTCCACCGACTGGTTTCACAATTATTTTGCGTGGGAAGTCAAAGATTACCTGCAGGAGAAATTGTTTATTGAGGGGAGGTCAAGGATTAACTGCAGGAGAAAGGCCTGGAGTTTAAGGTCCTTCTCGTGATTGACTACTGCCCTGGCCACCCCGAGGCCCCTCAAGGTTGCAAACATAAACTTTGAGGTAATCTTTCTGCCCAAGAACACAACAACATTGCTCCAACCACTCGATCAGGGAGTCATTGCTCTCTTCAATGCCAAGTACATGACCTGCACCTTCAACAGGATACGGCAGGCCTGGGACGATGACACACGGAATGAAGCCGAGTCAGTGCGGGAAATGTGGAAGACGTTCTCCATTGCAGACTGCTTCTCCTTCATCAAGCAGTGCCATGATGACCTGACAGCTTCTGTGTTAACCCCTGCTGGAGGGCCTTGTGTCCAGAGGTGGCAAACGATTTTGCTGGCTTCCCCACAGTCGACCAGGATGTGCAACACATGGTCCAGCTTGCCCGTCAAGTGGGAGGTTAGGGGTTTGACAACCTTCAAGAGGAAGAGGTGCAAGAGGAGCTCCTGGGTCATGCTGGGGAAGAGCTGGCTGAGCTTGTTGAGGAGCAGCATTGTGAGAATGAGGAAGAAGGTGGTGAAGAGGAGGAGGTGCCCACCTTAACTGTCACGAACATCAATAGGGGCTTGCTGTCTAGTAGGGCACTCATGGACTATTTTTTTTACGTCGATCCCTCTTTTGAGAGATCAGTCAAGTTCAAGAGAGGGATGGAGGAGGACCTGGTTCTTTATAAGGAAATACTAAAGGAACTCAAGTGCCAGGTTGGCCAACCTACAATCTCCATGTTCTTTTGCCTTCGTCCACTCCAAGCCCTACACCTTCTACACCTGCAAAAGTCTCATGCCCATATTATTAAACGTCTTCCCTTGAAGAGGGTCGTCGTGTTTCAACCCGAGTTTTAAACTAAATGAGTCCTGAGGGACACCGCAGTACAATACTTAACGGGGTGGTGTGGCGGTTAAATTAACTAATTCCAATACGGGTATTATAAATTAATTTTATTGGAATTAGTTAATTTTTCCGCCACACCACCCCGTTAAGTACTGTACTGCGGTGTCCCTCAGGACTCGTTTAGTTTAAAACTCGGGTTGAAACACGAAGGCCCTCTTCAAGGGAAGATGTTGTTTAATAATACGGGCGTCAGCCTCCTGTTCATTATCCTTCTGTTCGTGCACCTCCTCCTGACTCTGATTCCGACATGGACGACCTTCCTCCTGCCGCCCCCAGCTCTGCCCTCCCTCTGCTCTCCTCAGCCTCTTCTTCTGAAGCGGATGAGGAGTACTTGTAACTTCCTTGCCTTCATCTTGATCATCATCATGATTCATCATGATATTCATCAGTGGCAGGGGAGAGAGGAATGGGCTACAGCATGGAATGGTGAGTGTTAATCTTTGTTATAACAGAGTTGTCAATTTCTGTTTTGGGGAATATTAGTTCATTCACTCTAGTAATGATACAATGTTTTTTATTATGTTATCATAGGAAAGTGAATGGTTTATATAATTTGTTTATCACTGAGCCCGTACCATTTTCATATTAGACTACAAAATGTGTATTTCTCCCATACGTGCGTCTGGCTACGCCTGGCAACATACACTTGGCAACGGGAGCAGTAATGGAAGTGAGTGACTGCGTTTGTTATTTGGTGCATCGTCTGCTGTTGACTCTTCGCTCCCTGCCATATTTCACTGGCTTAACTGTTATTATTAGTGTTTATTGACAGAATAGTGCTTAACAGTGATTAATCATGGCATTGTAGCTAGGATAGCTCTTCATTGTAACCACTAGGCTACTGGGCCAAGCTGTAAGGTGGTATGGTTTTTTCAATTCGTATTTTCAGGTAGATATACTTAACCTTCTTCATTTATTTTTACTCAGTTACATGTACACACCATCCTTCCTACATACATACATATTGTGAAAAAAAATATATTACACCACAATTTGACATCCTTCATGTTGGGTTGGCTAGATGGTTACGAAGGAAATTGTGTAAGTTTGATCTAGGTATCAATCCAGCTGGCACTCGGATACTATTCGTTCTAGAGACAATAATTTTTATTAGGAAAAATTGTCGTATAGTAACCCAGCCAGCTCAACTTTAATAACAAAGCACGGAGTTGACTTGAGGGTAGACTCACATTTTTCTACATTTTGATACATTTTGTTGTCTTGTTTCTGATTATTTGTGAGAAGATTTTTCCCATTATTTTTTAATTTGTTTGTGTTTTGTGACACACACACACATACACACACACACACACACACACTTGTACAATACAGATAAAAGGAATAATTGTCCTAATGGCAATAACATAAAGGGAATATACTGTACATTTCTTTGCACACGAGTAACATGTACCACCCCCCTCCTTCCGTCAGCAAATGATATTCATTGGATTTTGATCAATGCGCCGCCATTTTGAGAACCAAAACCCGCAAATTTCAAGGGCATGCTGTACAGTATTTTTTGTTGTAACTTATTTGCTGGTATATATATATATATATATATATATATATATATATATATATATATATATATATATATATATATATATATACAGTATATATACTATATATATATATATATTTCATGTAGATCCACAATGAAAACGTGGATAAGATAAATCTTGATAAAATCACACGGGAAAAGGGAAACAACGAGCACCTTAGCTTTCGTCTTTATTCAAGACATCTTCAGGGGCAACTGGATTACATGGACAGAGAGAGGCTTAAATATACAGGGTGACCTTAAAAACATGAGGTCAGGTCATAAAGATGTCATCCACTAATCCCCACACCAACACACACGTAGAGGAGCTTAAGAGAAGGGGGGTGACGTGACTAGTCAGGTCAGGTCAAAAATAAAGGACCCACTAAATAACTATCATACATCTAGATCAAAGGTTTTCAAAGCATTTTTAACCTTGGGCCACTGACAAATAAATTTATGTAACATATTATCAGTTTTGAACTGACCATCACTAAGGTTTATTGATTTTAATTCCTTAATCAAACTAGCTTCAACCAAAAGTCTTTCTGTGACACAAGATGATTTAAATACTTCTAAGCTTTTTTCCCAAGCAATGGGATGATTATTATTCCTAACATGAACGAACAAGGCACTGCTTTCAGATGCTGTTCTGATATTATACTTATGTTGTTTGATTCTGAGCTGCAGTGTTTTTCCTGTCTGTCCTACATAATTACAATTACATTTGCTACATGGAATACAATAAACACTTCCATTCATATTCAAACGGGACAAATTCATTACGATAGGGCAGAGTCAAAATATTCTTAAGTGTAGGAATTTGCCTGGTTTGAGAGGAATGAAAGGATTTTTTAGCCCTTTTAAAACAACGATCAACAAACACAGAAGGATACCCGAGTTTCTGTGCAATGGAACGAATGTGTTTCAATTCATCGTCAATAAATTCAGTCACAAATACGCAGACATCTTAAGAACATACCAGAGAAAACTGACATTTTGGTAGACTCCAGGTGATTCGATAAAAAGTGTATGAAACTGTCTACCTGTATGGGCTTTCTGTATACCTAAATTTGTAGTTTTGGCCATTTCTCATGATAAGCATATCAAGGAATGGAAGGGATCCATTTATTTCTCTTTCAATTTTGAATGTGATACTTGGGACAATATCATTAAGCTTGTCTAAAAATTCCAATGGGTCACTGTTTCTAGGCCAAAGTCAAAGAACATCATCTACATATCTATACCATGGAGGAATAAAGTCCACTATATTGGGTAGTAATCTAGACTCAAAAAACTCCATATAAATACAGGCTATAGGAGCAGAAAAACAATTACCCGACGCACTGGGTAATCTCCCCACCGGCTGGTCAATACCTCACCTTGTGGAGTACGTGATGTTTGTTCTCTCTCAGGATGGGATGGAGGAAGGAAACTCACAATGTGCTCTCTGTATACATGTTGTATTGGATGTATAATGCAGCTTGGTGCTGGGAAGGCAGCATGGTTACAAGCGTTGAGTAGAGAGAGCTGGTTGGTGAGGGTGCTCAGAGGAAGACAGCTTGTGGGTCGCCATGCTCGCCGGCGGGAGCGAGGGCTACCAGGCAGCGGCGGAGGAGGTGGTGTTGCTTGCTGCGGCTGTAGCTAGAAGAAGAGAGAGGTCACCACGAGGTCAGGTCTTATATAGCGGAGGTAGGCGTGGCTTAATAGTTGACCTCCGCTATGTAAAGCGGCGCTGGTTGACCTAGACCACGAGGCATACACTGGGGAATTCGCGGGGTCGGCTACTCAGCGACAAGCAGCGTTTGTAGGGGAGAAATCCACTACAACCTCACCTCCCCCTTCCCATGGGTGAAGGTAGTTTTAGGCTTAAAGTTTTTATCTTATAAAATTTCACAGACTAAACTTAGCAGAATATAACTTACATTGCTGGAATCCTTGCAAGATAACGAATAATTTGAGTGTAGGAATTTCATATTTTCCAAAAAAGAAAAATTTTAGTCCTTTAATGTAGTACATTTGAGTACAAATGAGTACAGTAATATATTGCTCAAAATTATGGCTTTTTCACAGGAAACTGTCTGTATAACTAACCCCAGTAGTCAGGATATTATGTACTGTATTTTTGGTGTTTTTATATCATTTTTTATCGTCTTTATACATTTAGTACATTTGCCGGAAAATTCGAACAATCTACTTTTCTGGACAGGTGGCCCTCCCTTTTAGTTCGGATCTTTGAGGGTTCACTGTGTGCTGTAAAATTTGGTACTGTATTTTTGGTGTTTTGTATATTATTATTTATTGTTTTTTATGCATTTAGTACATTTCCCGGAAGATACGGACAATCGGCTTTATTGGACAGGTGGTCTCCCCATTTGTAGTTCAGAGAGGAGGGTACAGTTCAGACTCCAATCTATGGATGCCCGATTTGGAGATTTAATTTTGTTTTTCCCACTGTATAATTTTACAGTTAAAACCCCGGAGTTACAAAAGTTAGTTCTTTATTTATTTATTTATTTTTTTTAATTGGAAGATTGATGAGTTGACACAGGCATCTGGGAGTGTCCTGTGCTGAACAAGGACAGTAAACAACATTGCCAAGAGTCCCTTGGTGTTCGCAGCTTCATTTTTGGGGAGGTTATAGAGTATACTCAGGAAAACTATACATATAAAGATATTAATTAGGCAAGCAAGATTGTTTTACAACTTACAGTATATCCAAGTTACTTTTCCCAGTATAATTTCCACATCCACCACCCTCCCACCATACCATCACCTTCAGCACTGACCACCAGTTTCTGACAAGTAGAATGCATTTTGATTTGTTTTAAACTGATAAATGGTGTTTTTTTTTTTTTTTACAATTTATGATTATTATTACTGTTTAGAAATATAACTTACTTTACAAAATGCTTTAATATATGTTTAGTGTTATTTTACTACATGCAGGAGAATCACTCTATGTATGGCAGTCAGCGGAAAAATCTGCTTTGGGTGGGAGGGAAGACACCTAGGAAGCAGTAGTGTAATATGTAAGATCCGAGAAAATGTCATATTTTGTGGAGATGGATTTCTTATTGATATATGACACTGTACAGTATTGGGTTTTGTGAAGTGACAAAGGTAAACCAGATGGAAATATTAAGTCCATTTTAGAAGAGGAACGCCATAACAGAACACATTTGAAAGGCAGTTGAATGCGGAAGTGTGTGTTGCTGTTTATCTTAGTGACCCTGAAACACAAGAGCATGTAAGGTCTTTCAGGGTTTTCATTTTATAATATTTATAATAAAAAATATGTGATGCTTAACAAATCTTTTTCAGAATGTTTGATGAGGCCCAGAAGAGTCCTTTGAACCAGACTGATGTCCCTGAAGCCTATTACAAGTACTTGAGACCACTACTGAAAGCTAACCTCTAATTCCCTGAATGCTTCAGTACACAGTGTATCACTTGTCATCACTGTTTCTTGAGTAACTAAAATTAATGAGTTCCCTATTATTGAATTTTGTCTCGTCACTGGTGAAACAGACAGTACATAATATTATTATTTTTATTTTATTTTTTATTTTCCCTTCTGTCAGTTTATAGTGAAAGAAGTTCAGTACAGTATAGGTAGCCTCTTCACAGAAATGCAGTGAAAATTTATTTAATAAAATGGATTACTACTGTACTGTATTAGTTTGCAGATGGCAGGAAGTATGTGTATCTTGTAAATTCAGGTTTAAGGTACAGTACTGTATTTAAGTGAACCAGAAAACATTCATTATGTTGGTGAACATTTGACTTCACATTCCTCAGTCAGGTGATTTTTAGAAAAATTTGGTTAACAGGTTATCCATAAAAAATTTTTTTATATATGTATCCTGGTAATAGATAATTATATACTGTACTGTATATAGAATTGAGTTTATAAATATGTATGGTTAGATGATGATAAGAGAGTGTGTGTGTGTGTGTGTGTGTGGGGCTCCTAACTGTTGTTTTAACCCCATCTACATATGTTGTGCACCAGTCTCTTCTTTTATTTCCTCTTTTTTCATGGACAGATCACTATCCCTAGATTCATCTCACACAAGACTGGAAGAGAAGTAAAGAATCACCAATAAAGCTAGTGAGCCAGGTGATTATACATATATATATATATATATATATATATATATATATATATATATATATATATATATATATATATATATATATATATATATATATATATATATATATATATATATATATATACACATACACATACACATTGGTCCCTCGGTTAATGAACGGTTCGATTAACGAATTACCTCCCATAAGGATTTTCAATTCGGTTAACGAACAAAACTTCGATTTACGAAATCCTTACGAACAACGGGACTGGTTCTGTAGATGCTGCAGAGGTTGATGGGACTGGCGTCAGTTGAGGCCCTAGTAACATGATGATGATCAGGTCAGCCGTGGGGTCCACAACCTTCCCGACCAGTGGGACCCATCCGAGAAGGCCCCGCTTCAATATTCATATCAACTGACATTGGAGAATAAAATAGAATGAATAAAACAAATTGAGAATGAGTAAGGTTTTATTTGTTGTGTTGTCAGTAGTAAGAGAGACAATTGAGACCCTGCAATTGTGTGTAAATGAGGCAGAAAGTCAGATCAGCAACCTGAGAGTATTTGGTCACAATTTTCATGATGCCATATGGTAGCAGGGTCTACCATTAGACAACACATTATGCTTCCAATATCTTCCCAGGCGATAGTACCTCCCTGTTTGATAACTGCCTACTACCAACCACCTTAGAACAATTATTTCTCTTACTTTTTCACAATACAGTATATATATGTAAGATGGTGTGTGGATGTAACTGAGTAAAAATAAATGGTGTTTCATATATCTCCCCAAAAACATAAGTTGAAAAACAACCATAATACCTCGCAGGTTGGCTCAGTAGCCTGATGGTTATAGTGACGAGTCTAGCCTGGCTACAATGCCGCCAGCGATGTAAACTGGTGCAAATGTGAAAAGAAAGTTATCTGTAATACTTAATTTGTATCAGGTATTTGTGGGTTTAAAAATAATTGTTGCAGGTATGGCATTAATAGATTGCAATGCTTGTAAGAGTTCAGAAGTGGTTACTGCTTAGTTACCTCTGAAGAGTTGGGTGTCTACCATACGGATGTTAATCGTCTCAGGTTATCATCATCAGTACAGTAATTATAAATCCAGTTTTTATATTTACAATAAATATTTTTAATTAATTAAAAACAATAATAATGTGTTTCAGTAAGCAATAACATATATTTAATTTTTAAGTTTGGTTAGGTAGAATTTAGCCTACTGGAGACAGCAACTGGGGGATTGGTTAGCATACGGGAGACCGCAGCTTCACATAAGGATACAGGCTGATTTTTCGGGCCATTTTTCAGACAAAAAAGTGCCTCTTATATGCCATAAAGTACGGTAATATAATTCTGAAGATGTGTTAAATACACGAAATTGTTTAAGCAAATTTGTGATTTTCTTTTTCCATTTAGTACTTTATCACAATGAATTTGTCCCATTAGTCCAGTCCCTTAAATTATTAAACATTAATATTGTTTTTAAGTATGACTCGACTATTACTATTAGGTATATTAATTACGAATAGCCCAACCTTGAATATACAATAAATGGAAGAGTTTACTGTATTCCATGTTGCAATTGTAATGGAAATTATGTAGGTCAGACTGGGAAAGCATTCCATCTCAGAATTAAACAGCACAAGTACAATATTAGAACGGCATCTGAAAGCAGTACACTTTTCGTTCATATAAGGAACATTAATCATCCCATAGATTGGGAAAACAGTTTAGAAGTGTATAAATCCTCATGTGTCACGGAAAGACTTCTAGTTGAAGCAAGTTTGATGAGGGAAATGAGTTCTTTAAGCCTTAGTGATGGTCAGTACAAAACTGATATGTTACACAAATTTATTTGTCAGTGGCCCAAGGTTAAAAATGCTTTGAAAGCATTTGAGTTAGATGTAGGATAGATGATTAATGGGTCTCATATATATTTACCTGACTTCACATGACTAGTTATGTCGCCCATTCTTATAAGCTCTTCTCATGTTTGCTGTGGTGGTTGGTGTGTGGATTAGTGGATGTCATGTTTTTTTACCTGGCCTCATGTTTTGTAAGGTCACCCTGTGTACATAAGCTCTCTCTCAGTCTTTGTAGTTTGGTTCCCTCTGAAGATATCTTGAATAAAGACAAAAGCTAAGGTTCTCTGCATTGTTTCTCTTTTCCCTGTGTGATTTTATTAAGATTTATCTTATCCACGATTCCATTGTGGATGTACATGATATATATATATATATATATATATATATATATATATATATATATATATATATATATATATATATATATATATATATATATATATATATATATATATATATATATATATACACGGCTAACTGACAACTCAGGCCTGTGCGGTACACATGCTAGAAAGGCTAATCACACAATGACAGAAATTACATTCAACTCAGTCACTATACATTTAACTGAAAATCAATGCCAAAGGTCAGGTGAATTTCTGACATCTATTTTTATAATCTAATCAGAGATTGAGCTTGCCAGGAAGAAGTGAAATACACACGCTGTTAACGTTATTCTTCCAACATAAGCGAAATTTCTAGACAAGGACCCCTCTATGGGTATACGTTGAGATCTTGGAGATAAGGAATTTGACATGTTCTTTCAGGAGATTAACGGCTTTCTTGAATAGACAGCTGACACTAACTAAACTACATTGGGCATCAAAATGATCTAATTTCAGTAGTACTCGGAAACTCCTGGCTATCCCCAAGGACTATATCACAGGATGCCATTCGTACTAGCAAACTCGACACTCACTTAACAAGTGTTACTAACAATAAAGACAATTAAAGCTTTTGTAGGGTTACGTGATATTATGTTGTCTAGCACTCAGGATGGATGGAAACTCTAAGGTGGTGGTTTTCTTATATAATATAAATTATATGAAAGACAGTCTGGTGCTGGAGATGCCGTGTGGTGAGGAGCTGCTCAGTAGACACGTTCGGTGAGTAGCGTGCTGAAGGAGGTAGATGTGCAGGAGCTTCGTTAGAGGAGATGTTGCCTGTTGCTGGCCTCCGGGTTGAATGAAAGTTGGACAGCGAGGAGCTTGCTTGGAGGAGGTGTTGCGTGTTCAGGAACCGAGGGCAGAATGAGAGCTGGACAGCGAGGAGCTTGCTTGGAGGAGGTGTTGCGTGTTCAGGAACCGAGGCCAGACTGAATCTCAATGGAGAGACAGAGCTTATATACACAGCAGCCGGGAGTAAAACCCGTGGGAACTCGCCGGTTTCTTGACTCCGTTGCTAGGGAAGACGTAGCAGGTGGCTGGTTGCTAGGATACTGTGGCATCTGGTGACGCCCCCCCCCCCTGGGCCGCTCGTTTGGTTGCTAGGATACTGTCGCATTGGAATGCGGATACGCAGTTGTAGGGGAGACATCCACTACACTTTCAGCATCACTCACAAAAGATCTTGTATGCTTTAACTGTAATCAGACATATCTAAGTTGATGCAAAACAATGGTGTTCTCTCTCACATTCAGATTTACTTTAGAGAGAGGTTGGTTTCAGGAAGTCAGAGAAAATGGACGCCACCTTAGCTAGCGATCGATGAGAAAACGGACGCCTCAGATGGGAGACTCAATAAAGAAGGCATAGCTACATGTTTTGTGGGTTATTGAGCGTAATATGAATCGTCTGATTTTACGATAACTGACGTGTACGACCGTGGTCATTACACTGTCACCCCGTCTGGTCCCCGAAATATGCTAGGGACTGTCAGTTGGTTGAAAATGTTCAAAGGAGGGCCACCAGACTGGTGTCTGCACTTCGGCACCTCAGCTACCCTGAGAGATTGGAGCACCTGAACTTGCCTAGCCTATACTACAGATGGGCAAGGGGTGACCTAATTGAGGTGTATAAGCATCTCAAGGGGCACTACTCAGTCGAGTGTCCTTACTTGGACCTGGCGGACGCTCACCCCACAAGGGGTCACAGCTCAAAATTGAAGAAGCCTCAAGTCCAGAAAACTGTGAGGGCAAACTTTTTTGGAGTGAGGGTTGTAAACTCTTGGAAAAATCTACCAGAAAGTGTTGTGACGGCACCGAGTGTGAGCTCTTTCAAGACCAGACTTAACCAACACTGGAGCAGGTTCAGGTACATTCAGGAGCCGGTGCATGCCCAGTACTTGCTAACAGTGCGTATCAGAGACGTGACCGATCGCCCAAGTGGCTAACGAGCCGATCAGTGGTGAAGAGGAGGATAAAAATAAAAAGTTTAAAGGTTTATCACAAAGTTTACATGCTGAGTGTTCCGGTATGGGTACAGCATTACCAATGTGCCAGATGTGTCTGTACCCTAGCCTAATTCCGGCCACAACTATATCACATTGTCTTGTTCTGTCCTTATGCTGGCCATACCGGTTCCTCTTGTCACAAGATTTGTCATATCTACTAATGCTAAAACTGTCAGTTATCTCTGCATTT